TGCTTATATTTGAGTTCTCTATCAATTATTTTTTTTGTCCTTTTCAATCCAATTTTCCTTCAAAATCTTCCGTTTGTGGTTGTTTTGGGTAGTGTGGGTTTGGCAAGAGATGAAGTTGAGTTTTAATGATGTGGGTTTTCTAGATTATAGTGCTGCTTTCATCCATGTTAGATTTGCCTTTTTGAGCTTGAATCTTTCTTTCATGTCTCATGGTGACGTTGGTACGATTTATCGTAATATAATCGATGCTTTTGTTTGTGGTTTTGAATGTAGAGTCATTATTGTAAACGTCACTAGTTGTTTCTTTAGCAGTTTCTTTTTTAAGTTGGCGTTGCTTGTATGTAAATAGTGTTCTTTTACTAGTTTTGCTGGCAATTTTGTACGCAAAGTCTCTCATAAGGCGGGTTATGATGTGATTGATTTTCTAATTGCCAAGATTGAAGTACATTTGGCTTTAGAGTGCTTGATGTGTTATTATGCTAGTCATACCCAAAGATCTGCCGATATGGTGAGATTGGCCAAGTTGACCTTGTTTTTTGTATTGAAATCTATTTTGTTTAAGGATCATTCAGATTTAACTCAAGATACTCTATTTGAAGTTTATACCTTTTCTTATAATGGTAATAAAACTGTTACTGTGTTGCCTGAAAAATATCATTTCCTCCGTAGTCTTGGTACCACATGAGGCGTTGTTAATCCCACTCACACACACCGTCATTAGCTAGAGACTCCAACTTAATCAACACCTTTGTTTCAATTTCCATTCGATCACCCTGAAAGCACCCCTCAAATAATTAACAAATAAACCTACATATTTCACGTTGGTATTTTTATTATTATAAACTCATTTGTATCAAACAATAACCAAAAAAAAGTCATTAGTCAAATGTTGAATTAAGGTGCATCAAGCTGATTAGTGAAATGTGTGATTTTCTTCCAGGCTTGCTACGTGGCTTTATCATTATTATTTAAGCTCATCCAATAGTATTTTTTTGTTTATGTACGACATAATATGAGAAATGTAAAGGATATTTTTGTAAATGTGTGATTCTACGTGAACTTTCTAATCTCTTATTTTTTGCTTAATATTTTATAATATTTACGTAGAAATTAACTTTAAATTGTGAGGCAATAAAGAATTATATAGAATATCATTTTAAAAGAATATTCTTAACACTTCTCATATAATATGAAGCATAATTCTCTCCCCTCCTTAACATTTCTCATATAACATGTCTCTTAATGTTTGACGAATTTTTAAGACTATCACATATACAAGATAAATTGTATGATGTAGATCACGGGTGGCTGTAGAACTTCCCGTATTAAACAATCTGTTTTGATATTATAAAAAAATTTAAAATTCCATCATAAAATTTAAATAATAAAAGTTCAAAAACAAGATGATAAAAGTCTTCGACCGATCTTATCAGCAGCACCTATCAGCTTTTCCATATTTCAAAATGGCGGTCACCTTTCCACGTAAGTCATCAAATTCCACGAATCTTACGTCTAAATAGTACGAATCCTTGATTTCGTGACTTTTTTCTTCCTTTGAATCAAATAGGATTCACTTATTATGGTCATGATAAACAACTCAGGTTCCCATCAACAATAATATCCATATAAATTTAGACTAGGATTATCTCTTCGTTTTTTTTCATCTCCTCCTTTTATATTTTTTATTTTATTTTATTTTTATAAAAAATTAATATAAAATATTGATATGGTTTAATCGTGATCGTTCAAATAAAAAATGAAAAAAGATAAGGAAATAAACAAGAGGAGAGAATCATATTCTTATAAATTTAGGAAAACTAATGAAAAAAGCTTGAAAACTTTGAGTTTTAATGATAAGGACAAAATAAATGGTAAAATGAATAGTACCAAGATTGACTTTTTAGTGTAAAAATATAATTTTTTATTAAAATAAACAGTACCGGATGCTTTTCATTAAAATTCCTCATAAATTTTTGTCAATCTTTAGAAAAATACATATGACCAGAAGCCTCGGGTTTTCAAACGTAAAATCTACCCCACTTTAAGTCCTTGTCAAAACTCGCTTTTCTTAAAGTATTTATGAATATATGGATATGTCTGCTGTTGTACTTAGTCGTCAAGAGCATGGTGTAAAATATGACCCGTAATTCACTCCATGAATCTAGAGGTGGATGTTGTGGCCTTTGAAATTAGGGTGTGATATTCACATATTTTTTTTTATTTCTTTCATACTTTTTTAGTTTTCGACGGTCGGATCGGATGAATTAAAGAAAATTAATAGACAGAAATTAACAAAGGTATGTGAAAAGTAAAAATGAATGTGTAGATAGCACATCTCTTGAAATTAAGGAACTGTCATAATTGGGTTCCCCTTCTTTGGAAGGGACAATAGTTTTGGCCAATTGTCAAAACACAATTTCTTCACTTTAACTGCTGCTAGCGACACAACACCAGAAAAATTAATGAATAGATTCCCCACAAGGCAATAAATGGTTCAAACAGCCCCCAATTTTGAATTATTTTTAAGCCGTAGGGCTTCTTTGAATTTACAATAAAACCTCTATAAAGTCATTGAGTTGAAATTTCTTTTTTCAACCATTGCACTCCTTTGACCCCATTACTTCGTTGGGTTTCTATAAATAAAATATTTATATTATTTTGCTCGACGAACATATTTCAGCAATCAGTTTATTTTATTTTATTTTTGAAAATGTATTAATCTAAAAAAAATCACTACTAAAAAAATTATTTAATTCGATTAAAAAAATATTCGTACAAATGTATACAAGAAATGCTAAACTAACTACAAATATTGCAGTGCTTTGGTGGATGGCAACTGAAAGTCACTCGGAGGATCGGGGAAGCGAATGACAAATGTTGTCATTGCCTGGGCTCTGCAAGAAATGTATTGCTGAAACTGGTATTATCGCTGGTACGCATGACTTTCTTGCTGGCTCGCTAACTCCATCTCCAGATGCTCCTTTATAAAAAATTACAAAGAAATAAGGTTTTATTTAATAAAATAGAAGAAAGATGGATGAGAACCTAATTTTATTAAAAACAAAAAATTGGAATTAAAATTAAAAAAAGACTTACCAGAAATGTCGAACTTTGAATATAAATGAAAATATTTTTGCTCATCATACTAAAGTGGTGCTAATACTCACCACCATATTTATCACACATGGATGAGTTTAAATACTGAGCCAATCACCCAAAATAAATGGCAAATTGCCCTTTTATTGCCATGCTTCCAAAAAATTTGGTATAGCCCATCAAAACAACCTAAGAGCAGCTTCAGCCCTATCTTTTAGGCTGGCACCCAAAAAAACCCATCCACCCTTAAAAATAGGCTAGCCCAAAGTTCAAGCCAGTTTGTAGGCCGGCCCAAAATGAGTTGAGGTAGAAACCGGCCTATCTGGCGTCATGCTGATGCCAGCATGATGTCAGTGGGCAACACAATTTTTTTTTTTTTGTGTCAGGCTTGTGGAAAACACGCTCGTGTGGTTGTGCGTCCCCGACAAGGCAACAACCGCCGGGCCCGTGTTGTAGGTGCACTAAAAGGGCACGGGACATGGGTCACGTGGCTAAGCCTTGATCGTTGGATTTCCGACGGCTAGTTTTATGTAGGGGTGGGTTCGGTACGGTTACCGTACCAAAACCCTCGTATCAATTACCGTACCAAATTTTTGGTTTGGTAAAATCTATTACCATTACCATACCAAACTTTCGGTATACCGAAGTTTGGTATTGCCAAATGCTCGGTTGGCATGGTATGGCAATGGTAATTGCCACTTTATTTTGAGACAAAATCTGTTTTTGCTTTGTTCAACATTTCATATTTTGTGCCTCTGTAATAAGACAAAGATATATAAACCAAATGCATAGACAGAAGAAAATTCTCATAACAAGTGCCCAAATGGATTTTGGATTTCCACCTTCAAATGGATTTACAGCCGCATGAAATGTTGATGAATTACTTGAAAATTATACGCCTGAAACAAAGAATGGAAACATAAAGCAGTAATTTAAATTGTAGCCTAAATTCATTTATTATTCATCATTCATAATTCACACACACAATAATTCAAATTATGCATCAAAATGAAAATTAAGCTTACAATCCAAATAGATGTTACAAACCAAAACAAATAGAAGTTAACAATCCAAATAGAAGTTAAAGTTTCAAACCAAAGGAAAATTGAAACTAAACTTCAAAAGGTAAAATTCATTGATCAATTCTTCAAGTTTAAAATGTAGAAGCTTTTGGATGAGGCATTGAACTTGTAGAAGATTGAGTTTGTGTTAAGCCTATATTACAAACAAAGAAAACATATTAGTAGCAAGAAGAATTAAAGTTGAAAACCATTTAACAAACAAATAAAATATATTATAATTTATAAATATGTGTTATATTATAATTATATATTATATAATTTATATAAATTATATATTATATTATATTTTCGGTACGGTATAGTAATACCGTGGTAATGGTATCCATTACCAATACCGTACCACGAACTTTCAGTACGGTACAATACCGTACCATTATTGTTGGCACAAAATCAGTATGGCACGGTTGGCAATTTAGCAAAAAAATCCATCCCTAGTTTTATGGGCCGTTGGATTTCCAACAGTAAAAAAAATCTGAAATTCAAACCCAACGGCTAGTGATGCGGCACAATCTATGTGACGACCTGTCCCTAATTTTACGTTTTTATAAATTTTAAAATCGTGATTTTACAAAAATTCCCTTAGAGGCGAAGGTATTAACTTTCTTTGACCAACGTATAGTGAAACGTACGAAATATTATTTTGGTGTATTCCTGAAGTACTCGACGATACAAACGCGAAGGCGTAATCGGAATTGAAATCGAAGCTACGGTTAAAATTTAACGAACATCGAATACCGAAGACAAATTAATAAATTTCATAATTGATAGATATTTTTTTGTGACTTGTTTTAGGGAGCCATGTGTGTGGCTGGGGTGGAAACAAGTTGTGAGGAAGGAGAATGTTGGACGGAATAGAAGAATGGAGAATGAGAGTTTCAGGAGGGGGTGGTGGCGAATCGGATGAGGAGAAAGGAAGAGGTTGCCCAATGGAGATAGAAGGAAATGAAGGGAAAGGAGAGAGATGAGTGGCACCCAACCAAGACCTTCATCCCCTTCACCCCTGTACCTACGTACTCGATCGGGGGTGCCATTGGGTTCGAAGCAGTTTCCGGCGATCCTCACCTATTTTTCGAAGATTTTCACCCATTCACCACCACCAAACCTCATCATTATATCCCAACATCCAATTCTAGACAAAATTGACACGAAATGGTGGAGATTTCACGAAGAATACCATGTGGGTGCCGCGGAAGACTTGCCCAAAATCTACCAATTCTGAAATGTTTTCCTTCAATAACCACCACCAAAACACTCCTCAAGAGGTCAGGAACAATGCCCAATCAATGGTTGGAGCGTCGGAGTTGATTTGAGGACGAATCAAAAACACCAAAATTCTAGAGTTCATGGTGATTTGAGGCTTTTCTCGGCCAAATTGGACTTGGCCACAGGTATAAAACTTTCTCTACTCACTGAGATCTTCATTTATGTCAAGTTTGAGAATTTTTAGAAATAGTTGAATTTTCCGACGAGTCGGGGCGATCGGCTGCTGTGTGCGGCGGCATGTGGGCGGAGACCCCACCTGACCTTCCTAGGCTAAATTTGATAGCCCAATTGCATATGTGAAGCCATTGCATGAAATTTCATCGTTTGAACATAGTTTTGATAAAGACCTCTACTTGATCCTTATATGAATTGACGATCCAACCGTTGGATCGTCACCAAACTTTAATACATTATAGTATGTAATATTTCAAGATATTAGAAACTTATGGATTAGGAATCCGACATGCGGATCTTCCCAAATTGGATTTGTAAGTTTGTAAAATAAAACGTCGGTCGCCACTTAATTTTAGTAATTGGCGGAGATCTGACAGTCGGATCGTTCTGAAACTTTAGGATGTTGTTCTAGAAGCATAATATAGATCTCTGGAAATTACGGATAGGAAATCCGAGAGCGGATCTTCTGGATCGAGTTACGTATGGTTGTGGACCCTACAGTCGATCTTTGACCGACGGTTTACTTTTGGTCAATAGGTTACCAATCATTCTAAAACGTCCTTGGGGGATGTGTTTTATGTAAGTTACGTTTTCTATTGATAAGAATTCTGAGACGTGATTTGATAATTGTTCTAGGCGACGATCATTCGTGACGCCTTGATATTGGTGTTAGGGAGTTGTAGCGCAGACTCCAGGTGAGTGGGCATTTTTTTTCTATATATATATGTATGTATGTTACGGTTTCCAAAACGTTTTCTTAAATGATTTATGTTTTGAATGCCATGTCATAATGAGTTGCATTTTGACTATTGCACTGTTATACTTGAGAATTATATTATTTGATGTTGTGGAGACTCAGGTAAGCTTCAGGTGAGTATTATGTGATTAAATGGGTTGTATTGCATTGGTATGCATATATTTATTTAGAGCTCATCATGGTTGCACCCTGTGACAACCCGTCCCAAATTTTACAATTTTATAAATTTTAAAAGCGTGAATTGACGAAAATGCCTTGGAGCCGAGGACTTTGATTTTTGTTGTCCGTCGTCTAGAGGAACGTATGACTTATTCTTTTGGCGTATTTGTATAGTACTCGTTGGTATGAACGCATAGATGAAAGCCGTTTGCAAGTCCGAATTATAACTGTATAGTTACGGACATTTGAAATTGGTTAGTTAAAGTTTAGTTTAAATTATTAGAACTCCCACCTTGTGGGAGTAGCCACCAATCAGATTTTTAAAAAGGTTAGGAGCTGCCCAATCAGGAGGAGGAGAAGGAGAGGAAAGGAGGGACCCGAAATGGGTCATTTTTGACCCGCGAACCAACATTTTTGACCCGGCCATATCTCCTTCATACGAACTCCTTTTTGGGTGATCTTGGTATCCATGGAAATCCCTTGATGAGCCCTACATCCTAGTGGTGTTAGATTTTCTTATTTCTTTTCCATTTTTCCAGTTCGAAACCACAAACTCACGGGTGTTCCGGCGGCTTTATCCCTCTTCCCGGTGGCTCCGACAAGTTTCACCATCCATGACCACCACAAAAAGACTTCTCTCAACCCCAAGAACAAAGCCCAAGCAGTGTTGGAGGCGTCATAGTTCGATTCGAAGCCGAATCAAAGCACACCCTTTTCTAGGGTTTCGGCGGGTTTAAGTGAAATTGTAGCCTTTCCTGGTTAAATTGGACTTGGACACAGGTATAAATCGATTCCTCATGTTGTGTAGATGAATTTTCATGTTTGGATCGTGTGATTTGGTGGAGAAATGAGAAAGTTATAACGATTTAAAATTTGCCTAGTTTCTGACGACCTCTGCCACTTTTGAGGCGTTTTCCGGCCAAATAACGGTGAGATAGCCATCGTGTAAGGTACCAGTCTCTTCATCTCATTGAGAACTATGATTTTCGTTTTTGAATCACTTGTTTTCGTTGAGTATTGACAAAGTTATGGACGTTGAAAGGTTGCCCAGAAATTCCGGCGAGTTACCAGTTTTCCCGCGGACAGCCGTATTTCAAACCATTTTCTGGCCACCTCATGCAACCATTTGGACTCCAAGCTGGTATAATCTTGTTCTAAATTTCTATAGCTTCGATTTGGTATATTATGGGTAGAATTTGGTTGAGAAACAAGTGAGATATGGTGTTCCAAAGATCGCCCAGGAAATCTTCAAAAACTGCAGAATCTGGCAAAGTCCCATTAAGGTCCACCACTTAATTAGAATAGTAATCGACGATCCGACCGTTGGATCATCACCAACTTTAATACATTATAGTACATAATATTTGAGGGCCATAGAAACTTACAGATCAGGAATCCGACTACGGATCTTCCCGAATTGGATGTGTAAGTTTATAAAATAAATGTTAACCGCCACTTGGTTTTGGGCAATTAGCTGAGATTCGACCGTTTGATCGCAATGAAATTTTAGTATGTTATTCTAAAAGCATAATGTGGATCTTTGGAAGTTGCAAATTGAAAATCTAATATGCGGATCTTCCGAATCGAGTTATACAGGGTTGTAGACCCTACCGTCGATCTTTGATCGACGATTGACTTATGGTCAATGGGTCTCAAACTATTTTAGAATGTCCTTGAGGATGTGTTTTATGTGAATTACGTATTCTATTGATGAGAGTTCTGAGATGTGATTCTATAATTATTCCAAGCGCCAATCATTCGAGACACCTCGATGTGCGTGCTAGAGAATCATAGCGTGGACTCCAGGTGAGTGGATCTCTTCCTTTTATCATAGGTATATAATTGATAGCTCCTCAAACGCTTCTAAAGTGAATTGTGCATGTTACCTACAATTAATTATTGTGAATTACGAATGGCTTGATCCCTAATTAGGGTACGTAGGCAGTCTAACGAGACGTTAGATGCAGTCACATAATAAATGAGACTAAATAACGGAGACAATAGCCTTGTTTAGGGAATTGAGTAATGTGAGGGACATTGGTGGAAAATATAAGATTTAACCCTATGATTTGGTGGTTAATTATTGGTTATACATTAATGTATGAAGAATCAGGAGATTGAAGTAAGGAAATGTAATTAATGATAGTTAATTAAACTAGTATCTAATTGGGCTTATCATTGATAATTATCTCCGAAAATAAGTAGTTCGGGAGTAAGGTATGTGATTGATCCGCTTAAATTATCCCTACGCTGCTTGTTCTTACCTGGCTATGTTTGTTGACTGATTTTCTCATATGTTTTTTTCGGTAACTGTTGTTTTCAGTCGATTACCCGGTGCTGATTGTCCACTGGATCGGATTTGGTAGTTGACCCGGTTGTGATGATTACGATGATTCAATTAGCTTACATGGAGAAGGCGGATTCCGATTTGGCTTCACGGAGAGGTACTAACTTCGATTCGTTACTTAATAATTAAAATTGCAGCTCTCAATTAACTTATACTCATTGACTACCTACAAATGCAGTAAAAACTAGGTGAAGAAAAATCTACAAGGGTTCGGTTTGGCTAGTGATGTATAGAAACAAATTAGGGTTCTGTTGGTTGCTAGGTTTCCACGCCATATCATGTTACATTTTAGTATAACAATAAACGTTGCTACATTATGTTGCAACTCTTGAAGATCTTTCATATTCCGTAAAATGTTGTTGTTCGGTATTCATTTATGCTTTAGTATGTATACATCTATTTTCAATTTTCAATTTTGGTGAATGATATATAGATGCATATTAAGAAAACTGCTAATAGTCCCTTAAGCTTCTTTTGAGCTTATCGCATCTTTGTTGGATGATTCCCCAATGACATAAAAAATAAAGCATTTAGGCTTGTATTATTTGGCGCCTATTTCCGTTTGCTTTGTTTCGTACTCACAACACATGCATTTTCTATACCATTACTTCAAACCGCAGTCATGACTTGTAGAGAATAGCTTATATGATCGTTCACCTAAGGCCTCATGTCGAAGAGTGCTGGGCTTATTTGCAAACTGGTTCATCACGTACTTGTTATGTGGAAGAATGCTGACCTGATCTTAGAGCTCGTTCATAACACTCTCTTTGCGTGGAAGAGTGCTGGCTTAGTCAGAAGGCGATCCCTTTTGGTGAATTGGAAGAAAACAGTTCCGAGGTATCCTTCGTGAGATTTCTTCTATCAGGGTGGTTGTATTTGACTTCTTAATAGTTTTAATCAAGTCTCAGTACTCTTCATGTTTGTGTTGGCGGTTTCTTTAATTTGTGATCGTTTCAGTTTCAACGAGATTTTACTTTCGTGTCATGTCTGAGAGGTGGTCTGTGAATTGGTTTACTTTTGTCCATGTACATCTTACAATGCTGTTTATACTGATGCGTTCTAAAACTTACTGTATCTGCTTTTCTTTCTACTTCTTCAGCTACTCGGATGGAGCTATACCTTAATGCATGTATACTGATTCTTTTGTGTTCGAACTCAGGCTATACTATGGTTGTGAATCTGTGATTGTGTGAAAACTTTTAGATTTTGTATTGTCTACAAAGCGTGTCATTCTTCCTTTAAATTGTGACTCGTACGACATTGGCCAATTTTCCTCAGAAACTAAAATAAATGACCAAATTCCCTCTTATCATGCTTCCAAAAATTTGATGTTTTGTGAGGAAACATCCCGTAGCCGAAAATTGGCCTTTGCAATAGTTTCGCGAGGAAATCAGCTGTAGGGGTACAAGTTCGGGTCAGTTGGCAGAATGCTATCTTTTGTAATGGTTTAGGGAATTGGATCCCATTTGGATCCATTTTGTGGGGATTCTAGAGATCTCCACATCGTAACCATTCATCGTGTATCGTGTTGTAAAAAATTATTTGATTTTTTTAATTTAAAATTAAACATAAATAGTATCTGATAAAAATTGACGATACAATGTACGATGAACGGTTGAATGTGGGGATCGGATCCTCACAAAGTGAATCCGAAGAAGATCCTTGTTCACAGTTTAGAGAGGAAATCAGAGGGACAAGTTCGGGTCGGTTGGCAGAATGCTCCAGTAGTATCAAATGGGGAAAAATGGTGTAGGTGGGCATGTCTTCGATTTCATTTGACATTGGCTAGGCACTTGCAAGTTGGACGATGCAGCACCCACCGCTTTTGACATAGTGGTGCCGACTCACTGGTTTTACTTTTCCTCCTCTATATTAGTCACACTATTTGGCTCTATATTTGGATGGAAGATTATTGTGCCAATAAAACTTCGGTAAAATTGTTTGATTAGAAAAACTTGCATGTAATGTTGGGTGGAATCAGAATACATGGGAAGCTCATATGCTAGCGTGATTTGGCTGCCTTTTCCTTGAAGTTTATTTGTTTTGAATATGATATGTGTTTTGGTTTGTGTGCAAAGGAATGACTTTTGAAGTGTAAAAAGCCAAGTTTTATCAAATTAATCCTAAAAAGATTATTTGTTTTAATCACGTTTTCATCTCATGTAAGCTATGTTTATTTCTGTATGTTTCTTTACTCTTGCGATTTATTCATGCACTTGGTCAACAAGGAAAAAGCAACATCAACTAAAAAAACAAGGAAAATGTAGCAAACCCAATGGGTTGGTGAAAGTAACAAACCCTACGGTTTAAATGTGTTGTGACTGTAAACCCAAAAACCCATGTCATAGTCATTTCTTACTTTTACCAATACTAGATAAAGCTCACACGTGTGTATATAAAAAGTAAAACAAAAACTATCATATAGAAATGTATTTTTTTTCTTTTTTTAATTAAAAATATTACCATGGCAATGTGGGTGATGTTTGAAAAATAAAGAGAAAAATTGGTTATTTACGTTAACTGGATAAAAAATTAGGCTAAGCTTCATAATAGATTAAGAATAATGTGGTTTAAATTTATCTTTAGTAAGAATCAAATCTAAAACTTCTCATTGAAAATCATAATAGATTAAGAATAATGTAATTCAAATTCGTCTTTAGTAAAAACCGAATCTAAAACTTCTTACTGAAAATAAAAAATACCAAATCGTAGTACTAAAGGTTTTCATTTTATTGACAAAGAAAGTTTTGTTCACGGCAATTTGGAATACCTTCTAGAATCCATATATTCATCTTTTTCGTTTTTCCTCCGCATCTCTTTTACGGTTTCCTACTAAATTTTCCCCGGTTGCAACTTGCAATGTTCCAAGAATCCGCCACGTTGAGAGGCATCGAACGAAGACCATGATTCTCTTATCAGAGGCCACACGTGCAAATATTAAGTGCATGAAAAAAACACGTGGGCGTGGGTTTGGCTGCACGTCATCGCTCGAAAGATCACAAGGCAGTGGCTCTAGCATTGCCGCCAGGAAAAATACAGAAAAAGGAAAGCGCAGACCCGAGAGATTGCATTTCACACAAGAGAGATGATCCTCGCCGTATCATTTTTGTGATGATTCTTGAAATTTTCTGATTATATATGTTTATTGTATATTATGAGATTAATTTTTGTTAGTTATTATTTATATTCAATTATAGCTAAATTGGATTAATGGTCCCATGATGAGAGAGTAATCGGAAGATAGCCCTCGTGGTGAAAAAATTCATATTTAAACCCTCGTGGTGAACTCTGTTAGAATTTAAGTTCAAAATTAACATTTATGTAAACTTTCCGTTAACCCAAAACTAACAGTCCCACCCTTTTCCCAAAGATTTCATTGGATTTTAAATTTTTTGGTCGAAAGCAATGTCACCTTTTGTGTTCTTTGGGTTAATTCAATCCGAGCGAGTTTTTAAATTTTAGCTCTTTCTCTGAGTAGGATTCCTAGAAGAAAAAAAGGAGCTTGCTTTCACGCTTAGGTGGCATCTGCGGCTGAGATTTGATATGGGTTGTGAAGTTTCAAGCTTTTGGCTCCAATCCCTTGTAATTTATTAACCTTTAGATTTTGTAAAGTTCGAGTAAGTTTAAATTTATCACCCAAATTGCGGTTCTTTCTTATTTTTACAAATCCTGAAGCTTCTTTTACTACAGAGAGGCTCCAACCACACCATCTTCAATCTGTAAGTCAGTTTTCACAACCCAATATTTCGTTTTTCAATATTTGAATGGAATCAAACCATGGATCAACGAATTCATAGCCTTGGATGAATGAGTTTTTTTTCTCTTTTAGTTATGAATGTTGAATGGGTTAACGGATAGATGAGGAGAATGTTAATTTTAAGCTTAAATCTTAACGGAGTTCACCACAAAGGTTTAAATTTGATTTTTTTCACCACGAAAGCTATCTTCCGATTACCCTCTCACCACGGGACCATTAATCCAATTTAGCCTTCAATTTTAAATAAAAAAATTTATAATGATTTCTGACTGTACAATGTATGATAAATGGATCATATTAGAAAATCTTTCCCACTCGATAAAGCTTACTCCACTCCATAAAGCTTCGGTCTTTCCTCCTTTATCTTCTTTCTTCACTCGTATCTCGTGTTAGTTTTACAAAAGGTCATCACGTTTCTCTCTCTCTGGGGCAAGCAATTGGCAAGGTTGGAGGCTTTGGATTTCCAGGTAGCAATGAACACTCTCTGCTCATGCTATGTGCTTGGTTTTTATGTTTTTAATTTGTTTTTGTTTCATTTTTCCTAAGAAAATTAAATTATTAGAAAATTTCTGAGTTCTGGGTTTGCTGTAGTTCTTCTGTTTGTGGGGCCCAAGATCTGGAAATATGTCATGACTCCCGCAGTCAACAATTTTTTATTATTGCTGATTTCATTTTTCGTTCTATTTTTTTTACAGTTAACAATGTTCAATTCTTCTGGAACATGGATTGTTTGATTCTTTGACTTTTAAGATTGGGTTTGGATGGTTGATCTAACACCGCAGTTTGCGTGATTTTTCCTCATTTATTTATCATTTTCTACCCCTCCCTGTTTCATGCAAGTCCAGTAAACGAGCAGCTATTAAGTTCCTGGGTGAAGCTGCACTCAGTTGCGAAGGATTTTGATATCGAAAAATCTGTGGACATGTTTCGCCTCTGGAGCACTTCTCATCAGCAAGAGGACGATCCCTTGAACCATGACGCTAAGGTAATGAAAAAGTTTGAAGTATACAAGTTTTCAAGGAAATGTGGAAAAATCTTTCTTAGTTGAGTTCATGAATTGCAATATATATGCAGATCAATGAGCTGAAGGCTGCGATTGGACCGCTATCTGGACGCAGTTTGCAGTTCTGCACTGATGCATGCTTCAGGCGGTACTTGGAGGCGCGAAATTGGAACCTTGGCAAGGCGAAGAAAATGTTGGAGGAAACACTCAAATGGAGGTCAACCTATAAGCCTGAGGAAATCCGCTGGGTAAAATTGCTTTACTTTTTACGATGTTCTCTGTTTCTGATGCTTACATTTCTAGCTGAGTGTTGACGTGATTGTTGTGTTGTCAGCGCGAAGTTGCATGTGAAGGCGAGACCGGGAAAGTTTACAGAGCAAGTTTTCGCGATCGTAGTGGGAGGACTGTTCTTATACTGAGACCGGGAATGCAGGTATTAAGCGTTGTCACTTTGTATTTCTGATTCGTTGAGCATTCACTAGGGCGAAGATTAATGCTACTGGAAATGTTGCAGAACACGGTATCAATAGACAATCAGATGCGGCATCTGGTGTATCTGATTGAGAATGCTGTGTTCAACCTTCCGGAGGGCCAAGAACAAATGGCGTGGCTGATAGACTTCACAGGGTGGACGCTAAGTGCTACCGTGCCTGTGAAATCGGCTCGAGACACCATCAACATTTTACAGAACCACTACCCTGAGAGACTAGCAGTAGCATTTCTCTACAATCCCCCACGCATTTTTGAAGCATTTTGGAAGGTTTGAGTTCTGTTCTTCCTATTTGCTTCATTGAACATTACTTCCGCCAAAAGAATCGGGGGTCGTGCGGTTATAATCTAGTAGTTATTCAAATTGATGATAGATAATTGAATCGAGTATCTGAGATTGTTCTGTTCTGTTGATGCAGATTGTCAAGTATTTCTTGGATAACAAGACATTCCACAAGGTTAAGTTCGTTTACCCGAAGAACAAAGATAGCGTGGAGCTTATGAAACAATATTTCGACGAGGAAAATCTCCCTATTGAGTTTGGAGGACCAGCCATACTAAACTATGATCACGAGGAATTCTCTAAACTAATGAATCAAGATGATGTGAAATCAGCTGCATTTTGGTGCCCCGATGACAAACCACCACATTGGGCTAATGGGCGTTCTGGAGCTGAGGTGGCTCCAGAGCCAGTGAGCCTTACACCAGCAGCCAGCTGAGTCTCCCGCCCCTACTCTCAGCGCATGATCGTGATTAATCACCGGAATCCTCCATAGCAGGAGCTGATAACCCTAAAGTATAGGAGAATAAGTGAGACGGACTAACTGGTTGAGATGTTGCTGTAAGCCTGCAAGCTACGATCCAGTGAGAGATTATCTTAATACTAAACATGTTTAGTGACTACATTATCATTAAGAAAACAAATTAGCAATCTGGCATCGGTTTGTTTTATAAATATCTCATCAAATGTGATGTGGGTGAGACCAATCAGCCAAGACGTAATTAAAATTCTAAAGCACTTGTTCGCAAAACCTTCATTTTTTCCCGTCTTCTTGCGCCTGAGCTTGAATCTTGTTACCAAGTCTAATTTGGGATGGGAAAATGATAAATACGTGCACCGTTCCCCGTTTTAGTCTGATGGCCAGAAATAAAATTTATTAAATCGAATTTTATTAGCTTTGGGGGAAAGAGATGTTATCTACTACAATGAAATACAATATTTTACCATTTATATACTTTTGTCCAAATCAAAGACTGTTTCTCTCTTTCTATCACACCCTTCTTCTAAACAAACCTCTCACCAAGAGTTTATGGAGGAAACAACATAGAATGCGAAACATATAAACTGTCAGCTACACAAACAGTACTAAGTCAAAATCTGTCGTTCGAGATGCACGTTAAACGCAGACAAGGTTAGCTGCCTTTCGAGATTGAGCACACAAAACACGTTGACATCACAACAGGCGCCTCTTGAAAGTTCGCGTGGTCGTTTGGTAAGTGCGGACCAGCAAACCGACCCCTATGCCAACTCCAAGGCAAACGCCAAGTCCGATACCCACGCCAACTCTCACACCAGCATTGAACCATGAGAGTTCTCCGTCTTCACCGTCCATATATTCCGTCCTCCTCCAGTACATATTGTTGTACTCATCCTCGTTCTCCGGCTTGTAGTTTCTGTACTCTGCTACCTGCAATTCAAGAAAGGTTAGGGGATCCCAAAACGTACAATCCCAACCGAAGAATAAATAACAGAGATATGAACCATAACAAATGAAAGATGCTATGATGACTAATTATTTAGCCCTTAGTAAGTTAACCTTTCCTTCTTTACGCAAGAGATAAAACCAACAGAACAAATTCATGAGTGCCATCTTAACCAGGGTAAATTAAGACAACCATCTTATCAAGATCCCAAAGATAATAAATCGGTGCCAATATAACCTTCAGAATACTGTCTACAACAACCCAGTAGAAGGTGGGGCCCACAATGACGGACCATCCCCACGTCTCGTTGGATGAGGCCAATGTAAGTCTGACTTCAACAAGGATATGAAAAAGAAGACAGAACCGGCAAATTGAATACAACCCCATCTCTTGAAAACTGTGCCCTACCCATAATACCCATGTGCCATAAGATAAGATTCTGTTTGCAAGTCCTTGTTTAACAAGAAGTACGTTTCTGGGCAGGAAGCACAGGCAGGCAGTTGCAAGGCTCGTACGAAAGAGTTAACAAAGGCGACAATTTCACCATACCGCTATATGGTTTTAGATCACTGGGGACCTGCCTCCCAAAAACGACAAAATTGTTCAACACCTCATCTATCAAATGAGTCCTACAGACTACAGTACACTGGTGTGCGGGATGCACCGGTTTTATGGACCGCTAGATTCGAATGTTTGGATTAAAGCATGTAAATCTAGTCATCCACGGAAGCAGACACCGATGCATTGTACAATTTTTGATATCAAATACTGCAATGACTGCAAATAAAGCTTCAAATAATTTTTCGCCTTATAACAAACAAAAACCGACCCTAGAGTGAGGCATTAGATGAACACAGGCGCCTTACAACATGCATATACCGACACTACCCTAAGATACCAGATAAATGCAACTATGGCAAAGCACTGAAGTGAACATAACAAAATTTGAGTTTCAATCTTTCAATACAAAAAAAAAGTTTCAATATGTACCTCAATATCAACTCCACGAGAGACATCTTTCTGGCATTCGGTTGTCTCGTACTCTGGTATTGCACCCAACGTGCTCTTCCTATTGTGTTTCTTTCTAAAATGAAGCTGCAGTGTCTTGGTTAAGATGATCGGTGTGCCAGAGAAGCATCCTGTGATGTAAACTTCAATGGTTGGTGCAGTTAATTCAGCGCCACCAAGATGTTTCCCCTTCAAAAATCCAGTGCAAGCACTGATATCTGATTCACAATTCATGCTCCATCGCTTGACATTGTTTTTTGATTCCCCAATGAAACCGTTGCTATTAGACATCTCTAACACCCCAGAGAGGATGAGATCATCTTTGTCATACACCTCAAATCTCGCGCTCCCCGTCAACCTTATGCTGTCTGTATTCACAAATGTGGCCTCTTCAGACTTCTTATCTACCCGATCCCTTCTAAGATGTGAAGAAACACCTTCAGAGTGAATGCTAGTTTTAGCACCATTGACTTCCAAAAGGGTATCCGGGCTTACAGGAATATGATGGAGAGTCAGAAACTTTGGGGTCGAATCATCAACCTTAAAGTTACTAATCCTCACATAGAAGACTCTCAAATCAAACCAAGATGAAGGTAATTTACTGCAGGGCTGGTAAGGAGAGTATCTTATAATCTGGAGGGCATGATTCTCAACTTCACCATTGCTTGAAACTTCATTTGAACCATCCATTTTTCTTTTAGGAGAGCAATCCTCACTGAAATCCCTCGATATTGATCAAAACGGCAATGTCATTGCCGTAGGAACCACACAAGTTGAACTCAGACTGGCATAAGAGACCTGTGAAGAAATAACCAGAATATCTTCGGTTCAGATAATCACAAACAAAGGGGAAAAAACCCAGAAGCCCAGATGGTCAAACTCAAATCCATTAAACCAGCACATAATCAAGAAAGGTTTGCCTTTGCCGGGTAAAACGGTATTTTTGTAAGGGAAAAACAAAACACCCCATATTTAGAAACAGAAAGTTAGAAATCCATAGATTGAGGAACAAAGAACTCAATCTCACAACTGAAAGAGCAAAAATCCAGCTATATAGGCTAACAAATAGGATTTGAAAACAAAAGGTATATGCTCACTCTTATCTTGAACAAACACAAATCTAACTTCATAGAAAGATGAAACATTTATATGGGAAGTAATTTCCGCACACACGCCTTTTCTCCGTCTGCACACCCTTGTATATTTATAGCCTTTAAATATAAATCAAAGAACATAAATAAACACGAGTGTGCAAAACGAGAATAAAACTGTGCAAATATCATTTCCCATTTATATTAACCTAAAAGTATAGCAATTCAATCAATTTGCTATCCAAATTTACAGATTAATTTTAGAGCCTTTCACTGCATGAACATAGTCTTCAAACAAATAAAATAAAATTACACACAATTTATTTGAGCAGAGGATGAAAACAGGAAGACCCACCAGCAGATCCTGGAATTAAACAAGAATTGAACAATTCAAATCTTCAATCTTCAAATCCAATTCGTAATTTCGTAAAACTTTAAAGGAAAGCAAACGAACTGAAACCAAATTGAATTTTGAAATGTTTGCAAGAGAATATTACAAAATTACGAAGAAAAATAAAATAAATATGCTGCAAAAGCTGGCCACAACCAGTCAATTCACAGAAGCAGCCAAATCCATCTCTCTCTTCCTCTCAAACGAATCAAGAGCCACAAACAAATAAAGAGAAACAAAAAAAATAAAAAAATAAAAAACTAACCAAGTAATTGATTCAATTCCATCCACAATCTTCAACTGCAGAGAGTGACTTCCCGAATCGCTTTCGAAACTCCTTCAAGGTCGAGGCTTTTGATTCTCCTCCCAGCCCAGAATTCGTGGCTGCGAATCAATATTACGATTGACCCAAGTCCTCCAAAATAAAATAAAATAAAAATAATTGTTGGTTGCTTTTGTTGGTGTTTCCTTTTTTTTGGATGGAAAAAGAAAAAGCTTGAGGCTTTTGAGTTTGTGGTGCGTGGATTCTGAGAGTTTCCGAAGAAGGGAATGAAATGGAGAGATGGGTTTTATAGGGGAGCAGGAATCTGAGAGGGAAATGGGCGTTTTCTTAAATTTTGTTGTTCATCTTATCCGATTGGGGAGGAGGCAGAAGAATTTGGACTGGCTTCCTGTCCCTGAAACCCTGAAAGGGATGGGCAACGCCTAATTGCTTAGTTAGAAATTAATAATTAGTTCTTTTTTAGTGGTGCAGTGTTCGCCCCTCTACTCTCTTTTCTCACCGATCTTTTTTATTCACCACCATAAATAGTTAGAAAACAAATATACTCTCTTCATAAAAAAATAAAAAAAATCCATGGTTATTTTTTCGGATTAGTAATACACTTACAATCTATTTATATAATTACTTATATCATCTCTCTATTAGAATTGGAGTTGCCGACTCCTCGATACATGTGAATCTCATTTCTATAAGAATGATAATTGTTGACCCTAAAAACTACCAAAGCTATGTGGCGCGCATGCCGAGTAATCTATAAGCTAACTACGTCCTTCGGTAAATGCGGGGTGTGCCAACTCGTCGGCCAAGCTCGGCCGAGGAGTAAATTTGTTGATGTTGCGTTAGGTGCGTGGCTGACTTCTGCGTCTTGCGATTGCGGCCGAGAAAGGAACACGTCTCGGCCTCTTGGGCTCTCGAACCTGAAGACAAGGTTACTATTCTTACAAAGTTCACCAATCGCCGTCTTCAGATTCGGTCACAGTGATGTTATTCGTCAGAGTAAACTCTCGCCGAATCGACACCAAAGTGTAAGGGCACAAATACTCAAAGTAAATATAAGTCTTAATAGTGAACGTGGTTCGGCCGTCTGAATGCCGAACTCTAAATCCCACTTAAGAGTATCCAATCATAAAATAACTCGGCATGCAATGCGCCGAGCTCAATAAACTGTAACACCTCACTTCGCCGAGAAAGCTAATAAGACGACCTTAATCAATAAGGATTCGAAAATCCTTTTCGACCGAGACTTGGATAAGTAACCAACCGTCCTCGGCGCAGTGCTGTTGATGCCAACGGAATATACTGCGGGACCGGCTGATTCTACGATGACAGAGCTATCTATGCCGACTTAAGATATCACCGGTTGCTTTCACAGTGTTGTTGATGCCAACGGAATATGTGTCAGCGAAAAGAGAAAATAAAAATCTCAAAGTTGTTGAGAGAGTTTGCGTAGGGCAGTTATGTGTTGAATTGGAGAAGCTTCTTTGTTGCACAGCCTCCTCTATTTATAGCATTGGATACCTTTAAAGCCGAGTCAAAACCCTACTCGGAGTAGGTATTCGTCTCCTAATCAAACAACAACTCGACCAGTCCTATTTCCTCTATGATTATGAACCTAGTCCTTAATTGAGCCGGATTCGCTTTCGGGTTATTAATCCTGCCGAGACTCCTTATTGCACCAGGACTCGACTTGTCCTGCGTCATGACCTAGCTGTCCTAGGTTTGGAGGCCCACGATCCATGGTATCCTTGTTGTAAGGCCTCCCGGGCCGAGAATGATTCTATACTCAGCCCAAACTAATATTTTGGGCCCAAACATTGCCCCCTCGCTTCAGAGGCCCTCAGCCTGAACCCTCTGGTCGAGCTCCGGCCTTGAAGAAGCGAAATTAAAACTCAAAACTCAAATGCTCTTATTCTCGAGGCGCATTTATTGAGCACGATTGCACGATCTTGATCCTGCTAACCACCACACTACGTGGCATTCTTTTATAGGGCTAGTCCCTAATAATGACGTTTGAAGCGTGCGGCTCCCTGAACGGTCATATCATTATGGCCTTATTGCTGAACACCACCATGCCGCCTTGATCTGCGAACCATTCAGCATCGTGCAGATGCCAAACCGTCTTTCACCATAAATCTCGCCGCCACACGCAATCATGCGTCTCCCGAAATACAAAACCTTCGGTCTTCTCAACTGGATCTTCTGAATGTTCATAATGATTAGCGAATTTCTCAGTCGATTTTACCCTTCATTTTGAATTTCGAACGATTGCCCTTCCCTCCACCGTCCTATAAATACCGAAATCATCTCATTTGTACTTCTACGCTTTCCAATTTTCTGAATTTCTTGCCATTGCTCTCCAATGCATATCTTCCTTCCAAATTTTCGTCTTTAACCTTTAACCCAGAAAGTTCTTTTCTTGTCATTCCTTTAAACCATTCATCATGGCCTCCTTTATCTTAAAGCTTTCCAAGGAGTGTGACCAATGCCAAAAGATCATCGATCAGAGTTCAATCAAGACCATCCGATTTGAGAGCGACATGAGCACCCCTCATCAAATCTTGGGTCCTCTTTTTAAGGCGGCGGTGTCATCGACCATTACTACACTTCTTCATGAGCATTGCTTATCACCCTTGCTACAAGGGTTCGACTGGTCGAAGTGGGATGTAGCGAGGCCCCAAGGCTCTTGGCCCTCGACTACTACAACCTGGGCAACTTGGGTTGTTCGAATGGAAAAAATCTTCGGCGAGCAATGGAAAGCCCTAGGCATCTACGACGCCATTCGCCTTTCATCTATGAAGGTCATTTTGGACAAGGAGCTCCTCCTAGCGGCTTTATGTTTTTGGTGTTCGGCCACTAACACCATGGTCCTCCCTCTCGGCCCTATTGGCCCCACCATCATCGACCTTACTGCCATCCTGGGGACTTCCCCGACTGGAATCCCAGTCGACTCTGCCCTCCCTGGGTACCCGTCAAACCTTAATTTGAAGGTGCTTTTCGACAAACGGGCCCTTGAGACGCTAAGCAGTGAAGGCCAAACACACTCGAAGGAAGAGGTTCACAAGCTTCACAAGAACTTCTTCAACTACAACACCCTCTACCTCATTTTGCCCGCCGAGGAGAATAGGCTCTTCGAGAAGGAGAACACGAGGCTTTCCTCTTCTATTGGTACAACAAATGGTCTACTTCGCTCATCTTCGGCCAACGATTGCTGATTTCTCGCCCAGGGAAGCCCTCGGCCTTCAATTGGCTCTTCGGCCAATCCCCCATCACCAAGCCGAATAAGTATTCAGATACTTCTTCGCTCTCGACGACCTTTCTAATGACGAGTTCCTCTATGATTATGAACCTAGTCCTTAATTGAGCCGGATTCGCTTTCGGGTTATTAATCCTGCCGAGACTCCTTATTGCACCAGGACTCGACTTGTCCTACGTCATGACCTAGCCGTCCTAGGTTTGGAGGCCCACGATCCATGGTATCCTTGTTGTAAGGCCTCCCGGGCCGAGAATTATTCTATACTCGGCCCAAACAAATATTTTGGGCCCAAACAATAATACAAATAAATAATAAGAATAATATTTTTGTATTTCCTCAGAGTAAAATTTTTGACACATTGAAAACTAAAAACATTTGAAAAATTGGGGTCCATTTTTATAAATATTTAATTATTAGTTTAGATTTTTTTGGAATTAAAACTTTATTTAATAACTATTTTCAGTTATTTTTTTTGTTTAAAAATAAAAAAAAAATTAAAATGTTAAAACAAAATATTTAGCCAACAGTCTCTTAGTCTTAACCATTTAATCATACAAAAGATGATGGTTATGATTTTTTTTTAACAAACGATATTATCTATATTAAGGGGGAGGAGTTTAGTCTTACAATGGGTTAAAAATAATATGGTTCACACTCGCATTTGACAATAATTGAACCTAAGACCTCTCACTTATAAGTGAATAAGAATATCACTAGATTGTAGTACTAAGTGACAATGATAATGATTTCTTAAGAAAAGTTGATTTTCGTATATATATATTTTTTATTTCTCACATTCCTATTTATTTTTCATCATTAGGCTAAATAAATCAAACAAAACAACGAAAATGATTAAATATAAATGCGTAAAAATATTATCCTAATATAGCTAATTTTTGCAACCATAACGTCTACAAGCAAAATAAGCCTCTTCTTATGGGCTGAAAGAACAGTTTATGAAGCCCAAACCGTTGATATAAAGTTGAGCCCAAATTTTATGGGCTCAAAGAGCAAACCTATAATGCGATCCAAACAAAAGGGCCAAGAATCTCCCAAATCCAGTTCATCCAATCAGCCCAATCTAATTTCCGTCCAATCTAATCTCCGAAGGAGAAAAACTCGACTTTTTAACATTTTACATATGTGTCAAACTGTCATTTGCAAACTTCTTCAATGTCCACTCTTATGCCTTTGGCAGCATATGAATTTGGTATTTTCGTTCATATTCGTTTGGTATTATGGTATTCTTATTACGTGGCCAACTTTATACACTGCTTAGATTTAAGGGTAGTGCTATCACACACTTATTTCTATTTTTCACGCACTCTTCTTAATTTTCGACTATCGGATGAAATGAATTAAAGAAGATCAATGACCAAAGCTTAATAAAAATACGTGAGAAGTAAAAATGAGTGGTGTGTGGATAGTACTATCCTAATTTAATTACTCTCATCAAGTCACCAACCGTTGCTCTATCCAACACTCGAAAAACAAATCATTCTCTTATTGTCTTTGGTTTTGAACGAACAAAAGGTTTAACTAGTTTAATAGGACATGAAATGAAACCGTAATTGTATAAACTTTTGAGTTTACCACACTTATAACTTAACATGATAAACACATTTTATCCTCTACTTTGTTTTCCTCTAACGTTACATAACCTACTTCCTGGATTAAGTAAAGCTCTCCAATTAACGAACTCTTAGCGGGTTAAGTACGTAATTAGAGTGTCAATAATTAACAAACTTGCATTAAGCAACCTTGAATTGAATGAGCACGACGATATCGACATCCGCACATGTGGATGCGGCAGCTTTGGAACCTCTCGTTGACCAATTCACGTTGACCACATGTGGCAGCCTCGCAATGCCGCATCACCATAATAAACAAATTATCCGGATTAATAAAGGTTTCATTCGCAACTTACTTAAAAGGATACTTGTCGATTCTCTAATCATATCTCTTTATTATACATTATGCCGTCAATATTTATTTGATATAATTAATATTTAATTTTAAATAAAAAAATTACAATAATTTTTAACCGTACAATATACAATAAACGGATTTAATTAAAAAATTTTAAAAATCCTCAGAAATATAATCCGGCAAGTTCCTCTTGGAACCAAAACCAGCTAAGTTTGGAGTTCGGATGGAATAGCTCGAAACGACGACGTAACCCTGTGAGTGGTGGGGCATATGACGGGACCCATGGCCTTTTGCGTCGGCAGATTTTCAAATGTGAGGGTGATTACGCGTCTATGCAAACTTTGTCGCGAGTCGCGAGTCGCGGGTCGCGTAGAAGGTACGAAGGATGGAAGATTATAACAAGGTTTGACCCTGTTGGTTGGTCAAACAAACCTTAAATTACTTTCGGCACCACAGTAAAATGCTTTACATTATATTTTCTAATTTGCCACTTAAATACGAAATATATTTTGTCACCTCGAAAGAAGCATTGTGGTGATTTTTTATGCAAAAATAGTATTGAGAAGTATGAAAACTTATTTCTTAAACCGTGAATTTTAAATTTACGAAGTGAATTCGAAACTTGTACCGAATTATTTAAAATGAATACAGATAATCAAAAGTACATTTTCAACATACATATCCGGAAAACTCAATTGAATTAGGTCACTATTATTTTCTGGTTGTGAAGCTCCATTTTTATATGGCTGAAAAAATTATTCATAGAATAGACACATAAAAAATGGTTTTTTTTTTTGTTAACCACATAAAAAAAATGGTTTAGTTGTTATTAAAACACTTTTGTTTGGCAAAAGGGTTTGTACTTGAGGGAAAAATGAAGGAATAAAAGAGTAAAAAAATGAGTTCCGCACACTTTGTATATTTTTGTTTGGAAACATTTTGGTAGGGTTATAAAATAGGAGAGAGGATCCGGTGTAATTTCGGGAATTCTCCAATCATATCCGTTCATCGTGTGGTCAGTTTTTACAAATACTATTTATATTCAATTTTGAATAAAAAATTTACAAAAATTTATGACCATACAATATACGATGAATGAATATGATTTAAGAATTTCCGAAATCGTTACAAAAGGGAACCGGCGAGGATCTCACTCACAAATTAGAAATGGTTGGAGGCTTCTTATGCTCAAATCACAAACACGCGGTAAAACCCTACTGATTTCCATGCCCAGTCTTTAATTCCTTCTTCTTTTTTGTTCTGTACTCTCAAGCGACTTTTGTTTTTCCGTTCTCTCCTTTACCAAATCGACTTTCTTAATTACGATATTTCAAAATAATCATGTATCATGTTCTGAATGAACAATTAAATCACATATCGTGTGTGTTTTACTTAAAATATCACCGCCTTTTAACATCTCGTAAATGTCTCCAAGTAAAACAGGCAACAGGATCTGTGCCTCAACGACTCCAAGATCAAACCGTAGGCGCAGCGAATATCATGATGATCATCTATGTATGTATGATCTGTCAAGGCCAACAAGGGTAGGCAACGGTGGTCAATATCTAGGAGGGAGAGTAGAGTAGGATACAGCTCAGAAGCAGCCTATCACAGCTCAAAGGGCGCGAAACCCGACACTAGTGGTCAGACTGAAACACTGAGTCCTGAACCATGCAGTACAACGCATCCGTCTTATTACCCATGTCGAAATAAACCCACATGCTTGCCTTTTTCATTTTTCACATTAGTAAAATGGTTGACAGAGAGGCAACTAATTTAGCCTTTTGTACTGGATTGGTACTGACGTGGTTTTATAAAAAATAAATATAAAAAAAAAGTTAAGTTTAAAAAGTAAATATTTAAAAATAATTTATTTTCATAATTTTAGATAATAAAAGCTAAAAACTTGAGATAGAAAAAATAAGTTTATTCTCACGATACAGAAGAAACAATTCTTTTTTCAAAACACAGCAATATCAAACCAGTCGAAACCCAAAGGCTTCTTTTAGCAGATGTGGTCGTTGTCGAGTTGCAAGTTGATGTCCTCGTCTCTTCACTCAATATGTGTTCCAAATCTCTTTCGAATAGTTTAAGATTTATTGATGCATAAAATCAGTAAAATTCAACGAATTAGGAACTCAATTAATTAAGTTCAAGAGTATTTATCTTTATACCCAATTTAAGTTTTAACGTTCGATTAACGGTCAATACTACAGTCTGATGTATCTTTGTGCTAAAAAAAAAAGCTCTACCGTTCAATTTCTATTCTTTTCCAATATGGCTTATACCAAAACACTATCACTTGAATAAAAATAAAAACTATTATTAACGTTGTTTTAGAGTGCCAACACGCTTGAATAAAGACCTAAATCCGTACTTATTATTAGTTTAAAAACACCCTAAAACCCTAACAAGACCCCTAATCATGGTAGCATCTAAAATATATATGGTAGGGTTACCCATCCTCAGCCACTCCATAGTTTTCCCTCACTGGCTTTCGACCTCATTTCCTCCTGCTTTGTCTTTTCTATATTCTTTTACTCAGACATGAAGGGGATGGAAAAATAGGTACTACCAAAGAAAAGGGAAATACGATTATTAGTGGCTTTTGAGCTTTTTTTTGAATTTTATAAAAATATTTTTGCTTATTTTTATCAAACAGTAGTAGGAGAGTAGGAGGAGGAGGGGGCCGGGTCGAATTTTATTGGGTCTCGTATATGACTGGTAAGAGATTATTTTTAATGGTATTTTCCGAATCTAGGTGCAGGTCAAAGATTTGAGCCTTCTCTCTCTGCCGGTTCACTTCTTTAGAGAGAGAGAGGGAAAAATATTAGAGAACGTTCTTGAAGTTTTTTTGGCTTTCTGGGTTTTATTTCTACTCATCAGATTAATATAAAAGTTGTTGTCTTGGTGAAAATTATCATCAAAATATTTATTATTTGATAGAGAAATTTTTCTATGGGAAAGAAGCCTCAGAAAACGAAGGAGCTATCAGTGGCAATAGCAGAAGCTTCGTCAACCGGAGACGAATCCCAGCAGCAACCCCAGGCTCATACCCCAAGAAAGAGAGGAAGGCCTCGCAAGATTATTATTGAAGAGCAATCCACAGCAGGAATAGAAGAATCTGCTTCTGCTTCTGTAGCTGAAGATGTTAAAGAAAGTGATTCCAAAAAAGCAAAAGTAGATGAGGATGAGGATGATGAAGATCAAAAGCAGAAGCAACAGGAAGAGTTACAGCAGCCAAAGGTAAAAGAAGAAGAAGAAGAAGAAGGTAGTGGTAAAAAAGAAGAAGAAGAAGGTAGCGGTAAAAAAGAAGAAGAAGGTAGAGGTAAAAAAGAAGAGAGTTTTTTACCTAGGGAGCCTTCAAGAAGTAGAGCAAGGAGGAAAAGCAAACCCAGAAAGAGTAGCCATAACTAGTTACTCTCATGGTAATTTCTTTTATTGTTCTTAGTTTCCTCTTCTGTGTTAAAAACATCTGGAAAATTAATTAAATCAATCAAAAAATCTGTAAAGGCAACATATTATCTCTCGTTAATTTCCTGCATATAAATTATATGCAGAAGATAGAGAGTTGGACTTCGTTTTTGCATTTGACTTCTTCCAGCCTCTGCCTTTGTATAATATAATCAGCTTTTCTGTACGCAATCAAAATGCTTTCCGATTAGTTTTTTCTATTGATTAGTAGTTGGATGAATTAGACCGAGCAACTAGGGTTTTTTATTTCTCAGTTCATTGATGAAAATATATCTTTCATTAGTTTTAATTTTTTTGTTATTTTCACCTGTAGGAAATTAGTTTTGGTGTTTATGTTATAATACAAGCAATGTTTTAAACTAATCCATCCGGAAAATAATTCGAACTTAGGTAAAGCATTATTAGCATGCTAACTTGGATGAGACTGATGTCTGCAACTAAAATGCAACCAAAATATTTGAAGGAAGATAACGTTAGCAAGATTAAATTTATAGATAAAGTTTTGAAAACTAAAAGATATAAAAGTTGATAATTGATTTATTATTTATAATTTGATAAACAGATTTATTCTTATTGATGACACATTATTTTAAAGAACCGGAGAACACTGACATCACCATCTTAGTTACGCTCAATTATTTATGTTGAAAGGGGTAAGAAAACAAAATAAATGAAAATAGAGGGGCCACTAAAAAACGTGGGGTTTTCTGCAGAATTTAGAAAGAAGGAAGATTGCAAAATCTGGAAAATGGAAACAGAAATCGTATGTTAGCCGAGTTAGCATCTCTGCTACTGTCATTTGCCAAGTCGTGTCACGTGACACTCATGTTCTAAATTAATATACGAATAAACGCCTTCCCTTGAAAGAGCACAAGCAAGCGAGCAAAGCTAGTAGAAAGAAAGCTGTTTTCGCACTAGCCGCCTCAGTAAGCCAATAAGTGCTTTTTCTAATAAGTAGGGCGTGGCAGCTAGGGTTTCCACTCTAGGAGAGATTTTTCAGTGTGTTATGTGTATTATAAGATTAATAACTTAAAAATTAAAATTTTTCACCACTTGCATAAAAACACGTGATGTACCATTCGTGTTCCCGTCAAAACTAAAAATTTATCCCACTTCACATGTGCGTAAGGTGCCTAACTTAATTAGTATTGTCTCGTGTCTCACCCATTAAGTCTTAACTATGGATAAAGTCAAAGTAGCGTAGCCACGAGTTTTATGCTTACATAACAATATTTCAAATCAATTATGCATGCTAAATATATAAGTTGTATGAAATTTTTATGGTCCTCTAGAATGTCCTATACCACGGGACTTTTGACAATTTAATTTAGTAATTGTATATTGGACCAAAGCGGTTTTTATTTTTTATTTACTTTTTTGGTAGCATGCACCATCCATGCAAAGACTTGCGAAAGTAGGGTTCTATATTTTGTTTTTGGTAATAAAATGGTCAGTTTTATTAATTAGAGCGTTATAATTTTGATTTGTAAAAGTTTTGAGAAATGTTCGAGGTGCATATTAAATAATGCGCGTGAAATAAAATTTATTGATTGGACTTTCGACTTTGATTTTTAAAAAGATTAGTTAGTGATTTCGTTCCGACAGTTCATTATTTCGAGGGCTGAAAAGACTTATAAAGGTATTTTAGTCTCTTCTTGATCACTATCGTGCGATTCACCAATCTTAAGAATTGAACAAGAACGTATCATATGGCATATAGCATAAAATTCATCTCCAACTATTAGGTCACCCATATTGGATACCTCGTTTGGATACATGACGTAATTTGCTCTGCCTAACAGTAAAAACTAAGACAAAAAAATAATGCACGAATGAGGTTGGCTGATGTGGAAAGCTGCGTACGACATATATAGGTAACGACAATTTCCACTTATGGAAGATCAAGCACCATTACAAGGGGCCATTGAAACAGATATTTCGCCAACCATTGTTACAGTACAAGGTGAGAAGACTTGACCAAAAAAAAAAAAAAAAATACAAGGTGAGAAGGATTATAGACAAATGGATATTGACCGAAACGCTAAAGCGCTCGTCCCAAACCAATCATGTGACGTAATGCAGGAAGTTAAAACACAACGCATCATCGGTTTTGGGTGCCACTGGTGTCAGCTAATAACATCAAAAGGACACAAAAGACATCAAGTAGCCACAACCTTTTGAATCTATTTGAACGAAGTAGAACATAAACAGTAATTACCTCCCTGATTAAACAGTAGTTGCATCTTTATGACATTGTCCGAACATAAACATTGCAGAGTAAAACTTACCCAGAAACTCTATTAATCTATACTGTTGTTTATGTCATGCAAAAACTCGTTCACATGGGTAAATCTACAATAAAATACAATCAAAACTGTTCCTAGAACTCCATACTAATCAAACCCCTAACCTGGTTGTCACTGGTTTGTTCTGTGATGGCGCTCCTTCTTGTATCGAGACTGATACGGATCAAAACCACCTTCCTCTGCCCCATAAACGGCCCATGAAGGTGTTGGAGCCATGTAATCCTTACTGTCAAAATGTTTTCCAGAGGCCACCTGCATTTTCCATAAGAATGGATGAGTGAATAAATATGATCGCCCAAATGGCACTCTAGGAGTATATAATTGTTGGAGCCAAATATACCAGATCGTGAAACTTTTCATAGTCAATCCACGTGAACCACTGGCCATCAATCTTGAACTTGCTAGTTTTTGCCAGGAGGACACAGCACGAGTGGACATGCTCGCATGCGACTTCATACTCCCCGTTACTTTTCAAAGCTAAGGCCTCTGAAAATGCTTTCACATCAGCATGCCAGGGCACATTCTCCATTGTCAACTTTGATGTAGCAGACCTGTGAATTGATCAATCTGAATATAGAACTAAAGCATTTAAATGACCTGACTACTTAGGAACCAAAGAAACGAAAACTTACGTTCCACAATATGTAACTCCCTTGATTTCAACAAAATCAGGATTGCCAAGGCCAAAAATGTTATAATAAGCATCAATATCTTTTGTATTCCAGCCCTTCACCAGAGTTAGGCGATAAACAGTTCGTTGCTGTTTGTCCTTGAGGGAAGTCAAGGAATCCTGGCGATAAAAATTCAAGCATACACATGAGTAACACCAGAAGTACTGAATCATTTTGTTTTTATCAGTGGATTGAAGACAAGAAATTGGGACCTCAAAGTATCAAGTAGATCAGATGCTTACAATGAATCGCTCCCAAAAATCCCCAAAAAGTGGCCTATCAATCGCCTTCAAACTCTCTTTAGTTGCAGCATCTACACTTACATATAACTGTGTGCAAAGAAGTCCAAAATCATTGCCAACCAAAACTAAAGAATAGCATGATGTAAGATCAAACAGCAATATAACAGTAGCAAGCAAACCTGTGTGATAGGGTTCAGCATTTTGATCTTTTCAGGAAACTGAGCATTTGTTACTAGAAAAGTAGAAATCCGTCTTCGATGCAGCTCATCTATGAGTGCATTAATCTCAGGATACATGATGGGTTCACCAACAAGTGATAAGGCACAATGCCTGGGAGAGAGACCCTCTGTTAATCGCTCCAATGTAACACCTGCAGTAGAAGATATCTCATGACATAAAACTAAGCATATCTATACACTATTAAGTTTCCTAGGATTTAGTTGATGATAGTACAACCAAATAGTTGGGGAACCCAATATAACCATGCCTTCCTAAACGGTGTTTCAATTAATTCATCACTGGTTCGAGCTGTCTTGTACAACTAAAAATACTTAGCATTATCCAAGGATGTATTTCTTCCCCAAAGAAAAAAAACCACAGGATTTACCAGGAACTCCTTTCATTTGCTTGATCATTTTCGTGTGCTGGTCTATGGCAGAATTAACAATCTCTAACGGATCATCCATCTTCCACTGCCAACTCTTTCCGACAGGATTTGTGTGATGTCTCCAACAAAAAACACATTTGTTGGCACATGCCAGACTAGGGGTTGTCTCCATGCACCTATTTCATTCAAACGTCTCAAATTTAAACTGCTACTTGAGGCAATGTGAAATATACATAAACAACTATAAAAGTAAATGCGACTATGTAAAATATACAAGTTCAAAATGTATATGCTATAAGACTGCCAATTCACACTAATTCAATAGCACTGAGGTATTACAGATATGCAACAGTCAAGCTAAAATATGCGCATAATGCATGAATTCAGAGTCACACAGACGTGTATATGGGAAGGGACGGTGCGAAATCTGCTCCAAATTGATAATAATTTCGGTTACCTGTGACTTTCTATGCCATAAAACGAGTGTTTGTAGCAACCTCCACGGCCTCGAAGCTGCGACTTTGTCCATCTGCAAATTTTGACACCGCTATGAGAACCAATAATTTTATACCCCTGCATTTTCACTCGAGGAAAATCAAAGCCAAAGATCAGAACAAAAATCCTAAAGGCAAACACAACACTTCCAAATTTTCCAGAAAGAAGTCTGCTCAGACAAGCTTACCTGCTTCGTTAAGCTAGCTCGAATAACCGGAGTGACCATCTCTTTTTTACCATTCACTGTCCCGTTCGTCTTCGTCGCCGCCACTGGGTTCCTTCTTGAAGGTCCTTTACCTGCAATATCCTCAAGATCAACAACACCTGACTCCCCACCGTCCTCCTCCTCCTCATCCTCCTCGTCTGACCCATCAAAGCTCTCAGCTTCACATTCATCACCAACCCCATTACCCAAAACCCCGCCATTTTCCGCCGCACCACCCTTCAGAAACCTCACCACCTTCCCACTCCAAGCATCAAACACCTCGTCTAAATCACCACCGTCCACGTCCCCTTCCCAAATCGGAAACATCTCAGAAGCGCCCAACGCCCTCATCCTCCTCGCCAAGTCCTTCCCCACCGCATTGAACGTAGAGCCGTAGGCTCGGCTCCCAACGCCGAAGACGGCGAATTTGCAATTGGAGAGCAGCAGCGATCCCACCCTGAAGTCCTCCGCGCTCTCGGCGAGCCAATTGGAGAAGAACTTGGCGTTCGGAGGCGGCTTCCCGTCATCCCACGTCGAAGCGACGATCAGAACTAGGGTTTCCTTCGGGAGGTCTTCGGGCTCGTAGTTGTTGGGGTTGACGAGGTCGAAAGCGACGCCTTTTAACGTCAGAAAATCGAGCAGGCGACGAGCTAGGGCTTCGGAGGTTCCGGTTTGGGAGACGAAGAAGAGCTTGCCTCTGCGAGGCGAAGAGCCAGGGTTAGGGTTTAGGGATAGCTTGAGGCGTCGGAGGCGGCGGGATTTGTAGAAACAGTAGACAGTGGTGGCGGAGAGGAGGGCGAGGAGAGTGAGCCGCGCAGGAGCAGAGGAGAGGAACATGGCGGGAATTAAATTTGTTGGATTGTCCTTTGGCGGACAATCACATGAATGTTATGGAGGCGCGAAGATGAGTGGAGTCCGTTGCAGAACTGCGAGAAGAGTGAACGAGCAGGCGGAAGACGGCGATTAGAATTTTGGGTACGCAATGTTGGTGGGCTGATTCTGGACCTTCTAGTGCACATGCCCATATGCACTAATATCCCTCATCAAGCCTTCGGTACCACACGAGGCAGTAACGTACTTTCGTATAATTTCAATGAGTAACATTGTGTCAAATTGAATTGACTCGTATTATAACACGTACAAGAACCAGGGTAACAATCAAATAAACCTTTCTGGAATACAAGGATACAGCATTTCGCTCCTGAAAGAAAATTATTCATTTGCAGACGTAGACAATCACATGAGCTAGAGCGAATGTTCTTCCCATTATGCACCTGGGTTCAGATCCCCTTCTCTGCAATTTAGATAAGTTTAAAGTAAAATTCGCTCGTATAAAAAAGAATCTTGATTCTTTAATATAACATCTTTATATAATACACAAACCTATACACAGAAAAATTCATCACTTGAAATGTTTAGGAAAAAACATACTAATGTGCACTCTTAGTGAACTGGACTCATTCACCCTCACTTCCTCAGCTCATCCTCTACATCAACTGCAACTGCATCACCAATAAAATTCAAGTGGTAAATAAAAAACATCGGTTATAAGAACGCTCAAAATTGGATGGAGCACCCGAAGGAAGCATGGCTTCGCCGCAGGTCTTCGTGCTGTTATGGACTTGTATGAAGCTGCATTATCGTTTTTAAGGCAGCCACAACGTTTTCTGGGCGCATAAGATACCCTCCTTTCCCTGAGCATAAGTCATCCGGATCTCCCAATGCATACTCTTCAATATACCCTCCAGGGGTTCCAGTACCTCAACTTTCTCACGTATAATCGCCCAACCTCCAGGCCGTAACAAGCGATCCATCTCAACAACAATTGATACAGGCTGCTTACACCTGCAAAGTAGTATTCCAGATGTAAAGCATTGGGACACTTGAAAAATCGGAGACTTAAATAACAAAATGTCACTGCAAACAGTAATGAAGCGCTAACTGGAGGAGTTGGCTCTCACCTATTCTTAAGCCGCGAAAACAGATGATCCAAATGCAAAAGGTCATATGATCTGGGATAAGTACCGAAAGACTCGCACCAGTCGTGGTAGGTTCCAACAAGCCCGCGTTCAAATATGAAAGGAAGTGTATCGGGTGCATGGACAGGTACCACATTCATCACCCAAACCTTTTGTTGTGCGAGGGCTGCAGCAAATCTGCGTAAAGTACATTACAATTCAATTCACCAACCAACTTCGATGTGTTTCTATTGAAAAGAAAACAAAAGAAAACACAAGGTTCTGTTGAATTTATTTACATACCCTCCATAGATGGCTTTCATGTCCATTACATTTCGAATTTTTGACCAGTCGATACCCAGTCCAGTGAGATAAGATTTATCAACAATAGCTTTCCAGTGCTTGGTGTCTGCATCCAATTTATCTTTATCACTTAACCAGTCAGGATACCTTTCGAGCCTTTTGGGCCATTCCTCTGGCCACTCTGTGCCACGCTGTTCAATGGCAGATGGAATGGGGTGCAAGCAAGTCTTCACGGGAACGTACCTGTTAAGGGACATATAAGGCTAACTGTTCCTAAAAGAACGAAATCATCAAAAAGTAGTCTTCCATGCACAGATAACGAACATACAGATTCCGTTCAACAAATTAACGAGCCAGAAATGGAATATGTATGGATTCATAATGCTAAAAACCTAGAAGAGACGAATATTGTCAAGCAAGTTCATTTAAGCTTACCAGGCTGCATCAGGGTTTTCATTTTCCTTGCACAAAGGTGGATATTTCTTCCTCCTCAGATCATATATATCATTTGAGTCTGGCTTCTGGTATATTTTGACACCCACGTCACTGACTTCTTCAGTTTTATGAGCCAGAATATTCCAACAGATAGATGCGGTCAATTTAGCCATGGCTGGAAGATAAGAAAAAAATGCCACATGTTATCAAATTATTCAGCACAAGCAACTCAGGATAAAATTATATAATATCATAAAGCAAACAAATCTTAGATATCCTAAGGAAGTTAGTCCTCGCAAAAATAGTATTAACTGTAAGATATTCGGACCACAAGGCCTACTGCTCCAGCTTTCAAGCATCTAAAATAATTATTATTATCATAATAGTTAGCAGCATAGGGCAAACCTTCTTCTTCTTCAAAGCTGTCATGTTTAGTTGACAAGACAAAGTATCCGCCTGGCCTTAAAATCCTATTCATCTCTAGAAGATGCTTACCCCCTGCAAAAGAAAGAACACCATGAAAGTGACTTAAAGTTGGATTTGAAACTTCAAGAAGAAAAAAAATGAAGAATGGAAGGCAGAAAGAAATCGATTCAGACCATTTGAATGCCAAGGAATGGTGCAACCGCCACAGTGAACAGCATCAAAACCACCACTGGGGAAAGGCAGCCTTCTATTTTGAAAATGGCTAACTAAAGCAGGAAAACCACGTTCGAGGGCAACTTGAGCTAGGTCAACTAGGTCATCTTTCAAGCCCAATGCCAATGTTAATACATCCTTATCAACAAGAGAAGCCCCAAAGGCGGAATCTGTACATCCAATATCCAGCACTACACGGATATTCTTACCCCATTCGATGTCTGGTACCATCTATCAAACAAAATAAAAATTCAAACTTCTTTTTATGGTAAGACTTACAGCAATTACTATTAGGAGATAACTAGCACATACATACACATCAGAGTACGTATATGGTGAAGTTTAATTGCCATCTGTAAATAGAGGCTGGTTTCAAACTCCACATCTCTCACAATATTAGGATGCAAAAATATAGTAGAGATAAAACAGTTAGACTCTTTATCCTAGAAATATGAGATTTTCCAAGGTTTACCACTAATTTCATATATAAAAACACACGTTCGAAAGAGAAATCGTCTATCTACCCAAATAATCATTTACAAGCGTTATCAATTCATTTCAGGTTGTAATAAAAGAGGCATCATACAGATTCTCAAATTCAATGGACAATGAGTAAAAGTCACACCTCTTCAATGGACTCAAGATAGTGAAGAATCCCACCCTTCAATTCAGACTGGTTCTGAGGGAAAGTCAGATATTCTCCAGACTTCATCACCCAACTATGTTCCTTGATGAATGCCGCCAGTTTCGGATGCTCCACATTCTTGTACAATATCTACAAAACACGAAATGTTACGAAAACAAAACATCAGTAAAATTTGTTTTCCTCACATTGTACTACACTTGAATACAAGAAAAACATATGAAACCCTAAGCATATATACCTTCTCCTTGCTCTCAGGCCAGGGGACTGGAGGGCCGTATCCATCGTGGGGAAGAGGTACAAGACACATAGGTTCCACTTTCGGGCAACTCCTCTCCGTATGCCTATACTGCAGCCTTCCAGATCCAACTTCCGTATCAATACAAGGAATGTAATTATGCTTGCTCCTTGTGCTACATTGTTTCCAACTATAATGTGCTTTTGGATCAAACAATGGACCCTTCATCTTATACTTCTTCCCTCTTTTTTCGGATTCACCACCGTCATCTTCCAGCTTCACCTCCTCCGATTCCTTATCCATCGTCTCCATCAAATTATCCCCCTCTCCCCCTGCTTCCCCATTTCCTTCACTCTCATCACCCAAAGCTTCTTCCTTTCCATCCACCACCTCCTTTTCTTCATCCCCATCTTCCTTTTCAATCTCCGAATCTTCATTCTCGGATTCCAAGGTCACATTTTTACCCTTTGCCACACTCTCTGGTAACTTTTTCTTACCCTTCCCCTTCTTCCCATTTACCGCTTCTTTCTTCTCCTTCTCGTATTTATGCTCACGGGCAGGTGAACTCACAGCAGAGTCATTTGCCCTTTTCTCCTCCCCACCATTACTAGCAACTTGGTGGGTCCCACTGGGAGTGCTCGCTCTGGTGCTCTTTGATCCAGGCGACTTCCCAATGTTGTCGAAGCTTTCGATTCGGGTGGTGACGGAGGAGGAAGAAAAAGAAAACATCGACCAGACGAATATAAAGCAGAGGCCCAAGATTGCCACCGCCGTCATTTTTATGCAGAACCCACCTGGCCGTTTTGCTTGGCGGCCCAACCGAGCCACTGCCATCTCTCTCTCTCTCTCTCTCTCTCTCTAAAAATACACCCCAATAAATGAACTTTGAAGAATGTAAACTAAGTAGCCTATCAATCTGGAAACCCCCCAATGAAAAACCCCGCCAAAATTGGATAAAATATCGAAATTCAAATCCAGAAGTGGGATTTAAGCAGAAAATGAAATCTTTAACAAATCTGGAGCAGGAGATGAGACAGATCTGTGGAAATGTTTCTAAAAATGGAAATAGAAGATGAAACTGCGAGTACCCAAATGGGAAAATCACCGTCTGGATCGAACTACAACAAAAAGAAATAGCCTTTCAAAGAATTTATAACCTTCAAGATCATGAAAAATCTAAAGAAGAGTTTTTTTTTTCCCGATGAACTGAGAAATTAAAGAAGGAACTTGAATTGGGTAAGTACTAATTAGCACCTACCCAATATAAATTAGCTTTTAGCAGCAGAATTTTCAAATAAGTGGGAGAAACTTCTCTGTCACTCGGAAAAATTAAAATTAATTTTTTTTTTAAGTGATTAGTTGGGGAAATGACTAATGAGCAGAGGTAGTAATCGAGTATAAAGTAATAAACTTTTGAAATTTGTTTATAAAAATTATGTTGTCTGCGAAGTGGGCAGTGCTGTTAAGGTTGTCGTGTCATCTATAAGAGGCTGGAACTCATGTCGTAGATTTTATTTGCATTTTGCGGCGAGCGCCATGGATGGAAATTGACCGCCACCAGAAAGTTTCGGGTTTATGTCCAGGTTACGGTGCGTACTGCGCACAACAGCTAACCAGCACGTGCCTAAAAATTTAGCGCGTAAATAATTGAATATGGTCACTTAATATGGTATTAATCGCGTATAATATTTGAATACGGTCACTTAGTATGGTATAAATCATTTTCACAAGTGAACGATGAAGTTGACAATTTTCAAATTGTACATATTATTCATTTATATTATGCTCATGAAGTGAATATCTGATTATAACGTGAGAATGTATTAATCAAATTGATTTTAGTTTAGAGAAAAAAGATTGAAATGGAAAAATCTCTATCACCTCATATTTTTTAAATAATTTTTTATAATATTAGAATAAGAATTGACGTTAAACTATAAGGTAAATGAGAGTTCATGAAGAATTCTTTAAGAGAATCGCTTTAGCATTATCTTGCTATTAAACTTTAGGTTTGAATTACTGAAGAATGCAAGATTATTACTTCAGAAAATTGCCAAAATAAAAAATTGAGTGGTTCTACTCATACCAATCGATAACTCGATGCAAAAGTGTTAAGGAGTTCATCATGAAGGGTGGCCTGCCGGGCCTTTCATGGGCAACACTTGATGTTACAAAACAGGTGAAGAGCGCTTAGCACATAAAACACGTAGTAATAGAATTTACGTTCGAGAGAGAGATCGAGAGAGAGAGAGAGGGTTGTCTTAGCAGCGGGTTCTCATCAAACATGTAGGGGATCATATCTTTCTACATAACTAGAGTACCATAATTGTAGGTAGTCTTCGGTTAATTTTACGTAATTTCAAACTTAAATATTGATTTTGTGCATCTATATTTCATTCATGCGAAGAACATACGATCAATCTCAGTGATCTCTTGACGTGTCGCCTTCAGAACCTTGATGAGTTGTGGTATGTGAGTCCGTTGGCATTGGATCTACAGCAGTCACCTTATCAGAGTCTTGATGTTGAGTAGAACCTGAATATAATGGCACTGATGATGATGTTAACAGTGGGGCGCGGTTGACAGGTGGTGACCGTTGTCCGGAAGGATTGGGTGGGTTCGAGTAAGAAGGCTTTTCCTGAGATGCATGCATGTTGACCTTAATCCTGCATATTCAAGAAATATTATCATCTTTCGGTCCAAAATACAAGTTTCAGCAATACTGGTTGTCCTGCTACCAAAGCAAAATGATTGACAAACCCATACTACAGCATGGAACCGAAGATTTAAGAAGAATGTGTTGTGCTATTATGTGCAGGTGAAAATCGCTTAAAATCTTACCTGTTGTGGATATCGACATACTCATCTGTTTCATCCCATATCTCTTCCTGGTATAAGCAGAGATTTACAATTCGGATCAATACATGCAACAATTAAAATTTACAAAAATCCAGTATCCAGATAATACTCACACAAGTTTCGTAAGAAAATGCAGGAGCAGATTCAGTTACTTATTCCTACAATGCATGACCATTACCTGAAGAAGTTCTTCGATGACATCCTCCATGGTAATTACTCCTACAAACTCTTCATTGTCTGGGAAAACTGGAATGGGACCGTTCTCAACGTCCAGAATGCAATGTGAACAGCCTCTGTGTCGTTTCTTAAATGCAGGAGTAGCTGATGGGCTTTTCTTAGATTGTTGACCTCCATCACCATTGTCCAAAGCACTCAGAGCATTGCTTGAACCCACTTTTTCATCTGGAATTCAACAAGAACACAAATTATGTACTTCAAAGGACACACATACAAAAAGGTGGCAGTGATTGAAAAACTCAGGAAAAGCACATACATTGAGAAATCAGATAGCCAGAAACTCAGTTAATCATATCAATCATACAGGACACACAGAACAAGTTAAATCCATTAACATACTCAAATGGAACTTTACATTATGAATACAGAATGAAATATCATGAAACAATTAAATATTAAAACTGAGATTTGAATCTTGAACCTCAAAATGAAAATAAACCTAAACAGCAGCATTCTTTTGTTGCTGCTACGAATATACACACCTTTCTTGAATGATGCCACAGGTTGGCCCGCTTGCTTCTTACAATCATCCTTAAACACAGGTGGTTCGCCATCTTTGCCATTCTTTAGTGCATCCTTTTTCCCGTTTGGATACTTAAAGACAACAGCAATGTGACTGTGACCTTTCTGAAATTCATTTAGAATATCATACAGAGGCATGTCTTCTGAAACCCTGTGGAGCAAATGAAGAGGCCAGCCAAGAATTATCATGCTCCGGCCCAATAAAAATAAAACACAGGCAGTGAAACAAACTATTTTAGGAAGGGGTGTGATATCCACACACCCCTTTTTACTTCTCACACACCCCTTATTAATTTATGTCCTTTGATCTTCTTCATTTTATTCGATCCGACGGCCGGAAATTAAGGTGTGTGAGAAGTAAAAAGGGATGTGTGGATAGCAGCACACCCCCTTCAGGAATTCTCAAAACTACATTAGCTCATGTCTTGTATCAGATAATAAAAACCAAAATATAATGAGGTACTATCATACCGAGGAATTTTTCTGATCATCAGTTTTCTCAAAGTAACTCCACCTTCTGGATCAACCATCAAGAGATTCTTAACCTGCACTTATATGAAATGAACTGATACATTTGAAGCTAGCATCACTCTTGTTTTTTGGTCGGACATGCACTATCACTTCAACTTTGATATAGTATATAATCAAAGCAAAAATGGAATTACCAGAACAAGACCAATTATATTTCCGGGCTTCCCACAATAAACTGGAACTCTACTATGACCCATTACCATTATTGCATTCAATGTGTCCCTGGAGAGAAAATAGAGTGACAGGTTTAAAAAAATGGAAGAACACATCAAATATGATAGAGAGAACAAACCGAAATCCACAAACCCACAAAGTAACAGGTGCATCCAGATCAAGGGCAAATGCATTTGTTATGGGAGTCATAGCATCTTTTGCTGTCTTTTCAGTCAATTCAAGTGCCCCAGCAATGATGGTAGTCTCATCATGTGTTAAATCCCCACCTTTCCCAGCCTAAATAACAAATCATATGCATATGCCATATTTAATCACAGAACATGGGAAACCGGAGGACTTTCGGAAAGTTGAAAGTTCCTAACATATGCCACTAGACTACTAGTATAGTGCCTGATGTGAACTTTCAATATGCGAGAGCTTAGTCAGGTTATATACCTCATTTCCATGAAAATTCACAAAAGTCTTTAGCTCTGCTCTTCGTAAAAGAGCAGATTGTCCCTTACCCAGCATATAATCCAGAACCTGTGGAGAGAACAAATATAGAACAAATAAAATGACAGAATAGGAAACAAAAATGCAATTAATATCAGAATATATGCAGCTACGTCAAACAGTCAAGACACATCACAAAATTTACAAACATCTAAAGTCGTTGTAATCATTATGTAAGTTCATGCATTAACATCACCTTGCTAATGGGATACGAAATGGGGAGGAAAAGAACAAGAAGAAAACGCACAAATGGGGCCATTGTCGCCCCAACAGTCAATCCATAGCGAGTGCAGACTGCTTGCGGCAATATCTGGAGTAGCAACGAATACAAAGAACCAAAAGTAAACATCTTTTGTATGTATGTAGATACCTTCTTAAACTAAGCACTCGGCGTGAAATGCTCTTCCGAAGACAACTTACCTCCCCAAACACCAGGATGAGAGTGACCGATAACACAATGGCCGCCCAAGGAGGCACAAGACTATCCAAAAACACCGGAAGAGCCTAATAACACAGGAAACATCATCAACTACTACTAATTAATTGCCCTAGATAAAGCCACAACATCACACGATTACCTCCATTGCTAACGCGTTTCCGATTAAAAGAGTGCAAAGTAACAGGTGCTGATTCTTCACCACCGGATAAATTTTAGCTGCAAAAAAGGGAGCAGTTTAAAGCAATTAAACACACGCAAATCCAGTTCTTCTGTAAAGTTCAACTATTCTTTTGACTTGGACTGCAATAAACTGAGTCATCTAGTAATTTAGCTTACTGTCCAGCATCTCACAAAACAATATCATAACTTCCAATCCAGAAAACCGTTTCCAAAAACGATATTTGAATAAGTTTCAATCCAAAAAAGTTCTTATAGCTCAGAATCCAGAGGATCGCCCAAAGAAATGAAAAATTCGAAATTCGAAATTGCTGAGCAGCTCCAAATTTCATAAACTAAAAACAAATAACAAACAAAAAAATTTAAAGAAAATGAAATTATGAGGGAAGAAAGCTCACCGGCGTGTTTGCGATCCTGAGGGCGGCCGGACTTCATGAGGACCTCGAGGTCGACGAGGCCGAGGGACATGAGGCCGAGAGTGAGTCCGGCCATCATTCCGGCGAAGCATACCAGGCCTACGATTATCAGCAAGTACAGAAAGAACTTCGTCCCGCAGCAGGCCACCACCGCAGCCATCTCCGTCGCTCACTGGCTCGGTTGCTGGAGAGTGGAGACCAAAATTTGAAGCCGTGCGCGTGGGTTTGTCTTTCTCGGACCTTTTAGGTTGGGTTACTGGATATCTTTTTGGGCGGTTCAGTTCCCTCGATTTTTTTATTTGCTTCCACAAACACACTTGCTTTTAGCGGTGCCAGTGGAGCAAGTGCCCGCGTTAACAAGAATAACTTGCGTTTAATTGAGACGATAAGACCACGGTAATTTTTTTTTTTTTTAAATAAACGATATTATTTACATTAACTAATAATATGAACTTAACCTCATAATAAGCTAATAAGCTAGTAATAATATGATTCAAATTTACCTTTAACGATAATCAGATAAATACCACTAGACCGTGATAATTTAAATTCACCATTCTCTTCCTTAAGATAAATAATACCATTTGTTTACAACAAAAATTAAAGTGCGACAACAATGGGTGACATGTTTATTGAGAAACAATTTTACACTCTTCACTTCATATATCTTTTTCTAGTTTTATAGTTGTAAGATTAAACAATTAAAGTAAAACTAATAGTCATATACTAACAAATTTCTATTTCAACCTTCCTTTTTTTTCTCTTACACGTAAGTTTAAATCCGTTACTCATAACCATCCGACATGACCCCTAAGTTTGAATTCGCTTCTCTTCTTGTAATCCAGGTAGTTTAAAACATCATATCGTGCACACAAAATTAATCAAAACAAAATCTCACTAATACAATTTTTGTCTCAAAATCCTATAGAAAAGACAGTTTATCTTAAGAAACGGGTATTAACTTCGAAGATGGATTGTCTGCCCTCCTATTTCCATACTCTTCTCATCCTCTCCTGTTTTGTGTGGTCACGGTTAAGCCACGTCAACATTTTATATTCCTATTACTTTTTGTTTTATTATTTTTATAAAAAAAATCAATATAAAATATCGACGTAACCGTAACCACACAAACAGAAGGGGATGAAAATAATATGGAAATGGAAGGGCAGACAATCCACCTCCATTAACTTCATCTAGGAAAATATTGGTCAAATATGGGCTCTGTCTGCTGATGCCAGTTCTGTTTGTGTCTGGGCCCGTCACTGTTCTCATGAAGCCGTAGTTGATTTCGGGCTTTAGGGCCCATCCCTTTCAAGTTCCAACCGACAAAAGAGACGTTTCGCTTTTCCGGTAGGAATTACCGGCTACCAAAACAAACTACCCCCGCAGCTAAAAAGTCTTTTGGCGCGTGGGCTAGTGTCACCACGAGAGGAGACTTTCTTCCACCCCTGGAATGCTAGACGCTTTCGACCAATAATACAATGTCACGTCCAAAAGTTATATGGCATGCTACTTTTCCGAGACCCCACGGTGGCATCACGGATGCAAGTATACAGGGTGAATCACTTGAACACGACTACAAACTGATAGCCAATCAATTCGGGGCCTTTTGGGAAACCCCAAACAGCCTAAAGCCAATTGCCTTCCTTTGCCAGTTGCCACAGTGCAACGCAAGCAAACATGTACCACCAAAATGGACGCCTTTGTCGCATGCACAGCCAAAACCAAACAAATGAGTACTTGTTAAAAAACCATGAACTGGATTGGACTGGACTTCCATTTATTAGGAGCCACTCGCACCAGATAATAGCACAACGGCTGTAAGGCCGAAAACAGAAAGGCACATTAAATTGGGCAGTCGTGGACTGCATTGCAACCTTCCTTTTTTATCCAGGCAAAAATAAAAGCCGGGACGCGACTTGTAAGCCATTTTCTCCAACCCATTTGGCTTTGTGTTGTGTGGCTCTCTTTTCTTATCCCTCTTATCACCTGCCTCAACCTAACCTTATGATCCCACCTCTATCTTCTGCTTACACATAGCATGCCATATGTTCTCCATTCCTTTCTATTAGTTTCCAATTTTCCGTGCAGTTTGAAGGCTTTTCCGAGCAATTTAAAGACCATGTCAAGTCAAGACAATGGCTCACCTGAGTTCCCAACGTGGCCGGAGTTCAAGCTTCCGGACTTGTTGTCCACAGACACCATTCGACAGGTTCATGCAACGATTGAGAATGAATGGGATCCTCTTCAGCGGTCGGCTTGCCAGACGGCAGCTGGGAGAGCCTTGTGGAATCATGTCATTCATGACCCCCTGGCAGACATACTTGCGGGAGAGTCCTACCTTAAAAGCCTCCATGAGAAGATAAAGAAAGACTGCGTCAACAAGGCGCGAGAAATCTCTGGTGTCATTCTTGCAGTTCGAACACTCTGGTTTGATTCGAAGCTTGAAGCAGCACTTCATTCCTTCAACAACGGGGAGGCACAAGTAGTTCTTCTTGGGGCAGGTTGGTAAAATCACAATATTTGGTTAACAGTACTCTTTGAAACAATGTGGCGTACATCAAGTTGCACTTCGTGCCTGTGATGTACGATGTTGGGACATTTTTGTGTATGACGGATTTTTAATCATAGGAGTTCTGAGTAACAGATAATCCTGACATCGTGACACCAGATGAGTTGTTCATTTACATTGCTTTATCAGAATCTACTATATGAATCCCTGTAAAGTGAAAATCAAATCCCGTCAAAATGAACACTTTCTAGGAAAACTGATCCTCAACATGCAGTTCTGGCTTCTGATTATGCACCAAAGTAAAATACAGATCACGAATTATTGGTCATGTATATGCATATGTAAACTGTAGGAAACAATGACAAACTTTTAGACCATGCCCCACCCAAAGACTAATTGTAGTTTATACTAAATTATCAATAGCATGTATATGGACACTGAAATCTCTCAAGCTTTCACGTGTACGGAAGTAAATATACAGCCTATGATAAAAATTGCACTTCTGTTTGTAGGAATGGATGCAAGGGCTTACCGATTGAGTTGCCTGAAGGAAAGCAATGTGTTTGAAGTTGATTTTCCTGATCTCCTGCAAATAAAAGCCACTCTCCTGCAAGCAGCGATGGATTCTACAAACGGTCACCCGTGTCTAACGATGACAGCAAAATCCATTACAAGAGTGGCGGCTGATATCAGAAGCAATGACTGGCTCGAAAAACTTCAAACATCAGGGTTTGTGCCTGAGAAGAACACAGTGTGGGTTCTAGAAGGCATCCTCTACTACCTAACCCATTCCGAGGCCACACAGGTACTTGAAACCATAGCAGACAAGTGCTCGCTTACTCAGACGGTACTCTTGGCAGATTTTATGAACAAACCATCAATCAGTCTTTCCAATTCCATCTTCCATTTCTATAGCGATTGGCCTGATCATCTGCTGCCATCTCTTGGCTTTTCTCATGTTAAACTATCACAAATTGGTGATCCAGATGCTCATTTTGGACTCATGCACGATCCCTCAAATCTGTTCAACAAGCTTCGCAGCTTGCCTAGGTCAGTACATACCCACCCAGATGATGGAACGCCATGCTGTCGCTTGTATTTGGTTGAGGCTTCTGGTTCACCGAATCAAACTATTCCATAGATAGCCAGCAGATATTTACTACATATCTCCAACTAGCTGCTCAGCTTGTCTAGGTCAGTACAGCACAGCCAGGTGATGGAAAACTTCGCTACCGCTTGGTTTAGCCATCTGATTCAACCTATTAGACCATTCCAAATGGACCAACAGGTGATAATGATCTGATCAAAAGTGTCAGCTCAAAATTAAAGCAGCATAGGAGTGGGCAGCATCAATATTTGTAGTTCTGCGAAGAAAAATATATTCCATTGGAATGAGAAACTCAAACAAATTTGAGATGTCTGAAAATTTCCAAGAAGCCAATACTTATATTCAATTGTTCAATTATGTTAGGCAAATTATCAACAACACCCACCAACAACTGGTATGCAAAGTAAGGAAAAAGAAAATAAAAAATAAATAAATATTATAGCTAGTAGAGTCGCGGAACGCATTCTATGCATTTAGAAGTGTGGATTTTGCTTCATTTCAAGTCATCAACCTAGTTAGTATCTGGAATGATTTTGACCACTAGAGTTAATTAAATGACTAGGATGACTTGAAATGTGACGAGCTATACATTTCTAATTACAAAAAAAAAAAAATCAAGAAAGTTGTTGTTCATTAAAGTTAGTAAGTCTTTATAGAAGGACCTCCGATTCATGTCTTTCCAAAACCAAGAGCAGAGCACCTTTCTGTTAACAAAGACTAGAATAATATCGCCACAATGAGAAACTAAGACTGCAATAACTTTGCTAGATTATAAATATCTAACTTATTGAAGTAAATGGCACAAAACATGGTAGAAGCACATGAAAAGGGCAAAAATCAAGAAACATAATAGACAAGCAACGAGAGATAATCAAATCCACAATATACATGCATCTACAGAATTTCAAGCATGATATCCACTAGATAGTTTTTTCCTACAAATTGGTCAAGCGTCAAGGCAGTCCTTGATTCCTTGCTCAAATTTGTCTAGGGATGATAAGGTATCCATGAGAGAATCTGCAACCTTCTTTCTGCAGCCAATAGAACATAGTGAGATGGGAAAATTTATCGTTAACTTACAACTTGGTACCCTATTATGCGAAACAGAGTACCCAATAAATCTTTCTCAGGGATCAAGAATGCGACAAAACCGAACGCAAATAAATTTCTACAGAAATTCTCTCTTGCCATGTTTACCTTGATAGAAGAGACATACCTTTCAGCGGCAAATTGAGCGTCGGTCTCATTTACCAGACCATTAAGAGAAGTGAATGATCTGCAACATAACAACCATAAAAAATGGAAATGAAAAAGACAATGTTTGTAAATATTACAGCAATTGAATAGAGAAATATACTGCTCTACGATGTAAATATGTCAGACGTAAAATGTACCTTACAAGATCATTTAGCATAGACTCGGCTTCCAATTTTACAGGATCCTTATCACCAAGCAACGACGATGCGTTCTTTACAACCAGACGGAATGTGCAAACCTGTGAAGTAATGAGTTTGATAATATGAGGTCAATTAGCAAAAGTTCAACAGCTCCATCAATCTACAAGATTCTTTCAATGCCATGCAAGAGAGCCTTAAAAATTTCGATAAATTCACACAAGATGCTGCTTATAGTAACTATCCAAACAGTTGATTCTATGCACTAAATAGAAATTAAGAGCCGCCAAATCACCCTGATTAAATAAAACAAGGATAAATGAGCGAAAATGTTGAACCTCAACGCCTGTATTGGCTTGAAATGCAACAAACGAGTTCCTGTCCTCTATAACACAATCCCTTGCAGCAGATCTAAACAATCTCCGAACCTCCTCCATCTCCTTGTTCGTATAATCCGAATCCGTAGCCGCTGTAAAAATAAATCACATTAATCCAGATGAAATTTTACACACACGCACACAATATATATATATATATAGAGAGAGAGAGAGAGAGAGAGAGAGAGAGAGAGACTGAGTAGTCGATGAGCCGCGACGAGGCTCTCTCGGGAGGCATCAATCGGGGCCAGGAGGAACCTGGAGGCCTTCTTCTTCTGCTCGCGGAGCCAATCCTTTGGTCCTGCTGCGGAAATATGGAAAAAATTAGGGTTTCGAGATCAAATAACTAGAAACTGAAGGACTAAATCAAAATGGTGCGAGCTAGCTCACAAATGCCGAAGGAGAATCCGGATGCCGCGTCGGGTCGGAAGAGCGAAGGGATGAGAGCGACGAGGGAGAGCAAAGCGACGTCTCTACGACTGCGTTTTGGGAGTTGAAGATTGGGGGAAGCGTTCGGATTTGAAATTAGGGTATTTGATTTTGGAGGGAAGGATGAGATGGCGGTTACTGTGGGTGAGGAGGAGCTGGAGATAAGGCGGTGCGAAGCAATTGCCATAGTTGTTGCGTGCCTGCCTGCTTCTCTTTTGCGACGACGTGTTGTGGTGCGAGTGACTCAGCGGTATACGACTTGGCGTTTTGCTTTCCTCGTCACGTGAGACGCGATTTTGCATTTCCGACTTGGCGAGACACTATTGGTGGGATTTTATTTTGTGCTCTTAATGGGCTTCAATAAGAGTTGTCGAGTTTAATGGGCCTTATCTAATGAACATTTGGGTTTAGTTGGGCTTGGAATGTCAAAACATTAGATGATTACTCTGGTGCATAAGAACTTTCTTTTTAACTTACTATGCTCTGAATTTAATTTTCTCTCTTCTTCTCAGTAATTCTTAAAGTACTAATATTGCTTTTAATAAAAAAATATATATATATCTCTCTATTATTTCTATCAAATAATGTAAGTTCATAAGTTCAAATTTTACTATTTTTTATTGAAGTTTCATCTACAAGTAATGTTAAAAAAAAAAAAAAAACAACCAAAAACAAAAACCTCCCACTCCCCCCCCCCAAGTTCTCTCTCTCTCTCCCCTTCTCATTTTCTAAAAAAAATGTGTTCATACACACAAAGCAAATGCTAGTATGTAGTAAGATCTTTCTAATTGTTGACTTGCATTGTGTTTTATTATTGGGTAGTTTTATTCACACACTCTTATTTTTTTTTGTCTATTAATCTTCTCCAATTCATTTCATCAGACGATCGAAAATTAAGAAAATTGATTTAATTTAAAAAAGAAGAAGAAAATAATCAAAATAATTAATAAATCCTTGTGAAGTGAAGTGAGCCATAATTAATAAATGAAAATAATCACAAAACAATCAAATTATAAAGAAATTTAATTTAATTTTAAAAACAAACGTGTAACATCTTTGATGCAACTACGTGTGTAGCATGCTTGAATTTTTGTTAGTTTCTGGAGTGCACGTTTCTCTTGTTGAGTGGTTTTTTTTTGTCGTCAGTAGTGTACTGTGACTCCCTTTGCATGTTAAATACTTGTCCCGTCCGCCTTCTTCCTCCTCCGAGTCAGATGGCGCCAACGCCTGACGCCTTCAGTTTTTCAGTTACAGACGCATCCGGAGTGCGTTTTTAATGTGATCGAAGCCACCCGGCCTTCCTGCATGAATTTCTGGTAACGCCTCTCGGCCGTTGCAAACAGCAGTATTGTAACGTATCAAACTTCTTTACCTCAAGTAACGTTGTTTTTTAAGTAATTTTTTTTTCCAAGTAACTTTTTATTTTCATGTGACCAAAAGAGATTTTTGTTTTTTTATTCAACAATTATAGTCCATTAGCACTATTAGTGTAGGACTTTAAAAGCTTTCTACATTAAAGCAAATTGTATATAGAAAGTTGTTAATGACGCTTCAAAAAAAAATTATTATGCTCTCCAAAAACGTGGAAATAGATGACTAATACTTTCATTCCTTGTAGAGGATAAACTTTATTATCTCACTTACAAATAACATACTTTCACCATTAAAAATTCATAGTTGGAACTATTCAATTTCTTAATCAAGTAAAGATCAAGCCTATAAAAAATCATTCAAATTGGATATTATTTAGTCATCTAACTGTATCAAATTAATCAATGATGTAACTACCAAATAACATACTAATGATGACCTGTCCATTTATTAATGCATTTATATGACTAATTGATGATCTTTAAATGATAATTAGGAAATTGAACAATTTTTTCTACAATAGAGATACGTTATTTGCAAGTATAGAAACGAGCATATCTTCAAAGGAGGAACGCAAGTGCTATCCAAAACATAATAGAGGAAATAGTACTTTGAGGAATGCAATGCATAATGACTTTTCAAATGCAAATAACATCTCACTACACATATTATAACATACATATATATATATATATATCATGCATGTAACCATGTCGCCGCCTGTGTTCTTTTGTGTTATCATCTTCTTCACCCAATAACCAGATCAATATCTCTAGTGTATCACAATGCATCTAAACGCTTCCAGTTATTATTGCCTTAATTTCTCATATTCCGACCTCTTTCTCGCCTTTTTTCCGACCTTCGGTCCTCATACCTTCTATAACCTCTCATCTTATCTAGCACTTTAGTAAACAAATTGTTCAATTTTTCATATGGCTTCATTAAGATCACTTCATCTACGACCAAGATGTGTTATGTTCTTTACATTTTGGACTATATTGTACTTACTAGGTCTTTGGTCTTATCGGAAGTTGATTATTAAAGTTGTTGTGTGCTTGGTTATTGTGGATCGTCAATTCTAATAGGTAAACTTCTACTTTATGAATAATAGATGAAATATCTTGGTGAGTTTTTCCAGCACCAACTGTTTTTTTTTTCTCAAAAAAAAAAAAGTAGATTATTGTGTCTTATGTTGAAGTTTATTCTGGTGGAAAACAGGTTGGATCCCAAATTTCCATGATGTGCATATACAAGCTAAGCTAAAGATGAACTCGACTATGCTGGATCATCAAAACAGAAAGATTATAGGACACAAAGATGTCATCTTCGGCAAAAAAAGGTAATGTATAATTTTTGTTTTGGAATGTTGAACGTTTGGTTGCAATTTATAAATATTTGAATGGGCTGAAGTTAAATTTATAAGGAACAAATCACAAAATGTCAGATATGAGAGACTCAAAATGCACGATACGAGCATTACAAAAGCATAAAGATATTACTTGTAAAATATCATTTACAAATCAAATATCTTTTATCTAATATCTTATAGTTACTGTATTGCGATTCATTCTTTACTATTTTGGCATCAATCCAATGAGACTTGAAAGTTATCCACTCAAAGACTCGTTTGAACATCGTTTAAGAAGGTTTAAAATTGCATTCAGGCAATTTTGTGGGGCGCATTTCTTAATATGTTTTAACGATTTGAACCGCTTATATTTTAAAACATCATTCATACAAAAATTTAGACAAATCAAAACTATTAAGACATTATTTATAGTAAAAAAATAAACGAATACGTTTAGTAGATCATCCTTACAAAGAAACCTCAAAACTCATAACATGACGGTCATATGATTTTTTATTTTGGTAATTTTTAGTAGATATGATATTTGAGGAAGATCTAAAAGATAGCCGGTTCAGATCGTTGAAATGTATTACAGGATAAACGGTACAAAAATTAGAGTAAAATGTTTTGTAAAAAAAGTGGTGTCACGAATCCGCTACAATTTTAATAGAGTTCATATAATATATATGTTGAGCTCCCCTTAATAACAATAATTTTTTTTTTTAAATTGCTTAATTGCACATGTTGAAATATGTTTCAAAGTTCAATCTTCTATTTTATAATTTTATTAGTTTAATTTATAATCATCATCAACCAACCTCATCAAATTTTAATAAGAATTAAAACATAAAAAAATCTGAAAAATAGTATGAAATTGGAACATATGCTGAATTAAAAAATAGATTAAAAACTCAATTAAAGTTACAAATGGAAAAGTTATATTATCTTAGTCTCTAGACTACGTGGCACAGCATCTCTCCATCTTCCATGAACAATTTCCCACCACTTTTCCACCACCACCACCACCATCATTCGCGTTTCCAGAAACGGAAACAACAACAAATCCGTACTCCTCCTCTCGTCAGCTCCGTCCCCAGCGAATTTAATTCCCTCTCCCTTCCCACTGCGAGGAATAATACTCCCAACTCCCAACCAAATTAGATGTTCCCTGCCACATAATCCCATTGGCATCGGAATCCCCCGAATCCCATTCCTTCTTATCACCCCCTCCATTCCCTCCCCCTCCCCCCTCCCAAATGCCTAATTAACACCACCATGCGAATTCCCAAGAAACCCGTTTCCTTCTGCCTCTTTCTGTTTTATCCCGAACTTTCCGCTTCCTCTCTCTTTCCCCGCTTCCGCTCTCCCGGTAAAAGAAAAAGCTTTCACACAACAGGTTCGTTTTTGCTTTCGTCCTCATTGTTTTTCCTTTCAAAGTTTTCAATTTTTAAACCATTTTTTGAGCTTGTGAAGCGTGAATTTTGTGAGGGTAGAGTCTGCATTTACGCTTCGCTAGTGGGTTTTTTGTTGTTTTGTGATTTTACCTTGTTATCTGGCGTGAAGCTTTTTAGAAGTTAGTAGGAGGATTGGGCTATAAGTATTGGGGGGTTTGTACTGGGAGAGAGCAAAAAGCACGGAGCTTTTCTTTTAACTTTGAGAAAATTGGTAATTGTTAGGTGTCTCTTGGAGCATAGCTTGGAGGATTCTTAGAGTTGGAACTTAACCTGGTGCACTGTGCGCTCACTTTTGTTTGGCACTTCAGGTAAGATTCCCCATCCGGGTTCTCTGTTTGTAGAAATGGGGTTTTCTTCTTCTTCTTCATTTTCTAAGAAAATGAAGACTTGTAGTTTGGGAAGTTTTTCCGAGAAGGGTCTGGTGAAGAATGAGGGGAAATGAGGATTTTCGAGCTGTTTTTCGAAAAGATTGTAACTTTAGTAATTATTTTCTGTTTGTGAAAATGGGGTTTTCTTCTTCTTCTTCACTCGATCTTTCATTTTTAACTTTTAGACTTGTCGTTTGGGTAGTTTTTTGAAAAGGGTCAGCTGAAGAATGAGTGGAAAATGAGGAATTTTGAGCTGTTTTTCGGAAAGCTTTTTGATAGATTGTCACACTCCCTTTTAATTCGCGTTGTTTGCATGTCTATGATGTTTAATGTGATATTTCTAGATAAGTACCGTATACAGTCCTGCTTTAGTTAAATGAAAATATCGTCCTTTTCGTTCACCATTAGAAGCTCTAATTTTTGCTCCATTGCTATAATCTAACAGGAGGTTATCAATTGCATGCCAGTTATTCGATGGAAAAAGGCCACGAAACTGCTGTACGAGGTGACCAGTCAGCACATTTTGCACCTATGGGCTCAACTGATGGTGGTAAAAAACCATGTGTATGGTCATCTCCCCAAGGAGGATGTAAAATTGACATAAGAAAGCAGATCTTCTGCAACAGATCGTTGAATATGAAGAATATTGTTGCAGTAGGATTTGATATGGATTACACATTGGCACAGTACAAGCCAGAAACCTTCGAGTCTCTTGCATACGATGGAACTATCCGGAAGTTGGTGTACGATCTAGGATACCCTCGTGAGGTTTGTCTGTTCTATTATTTGTTCTTACATTTCAGGAAGAAATTGATGTTGCTAACATATCAGATACTCAATTAATTTGGTTTAATATTGCAATTAATCCAGTAGTGTTAGTGCATTTTAATTTCAACACTTAGCAGACATCATTTAGTACCATTTTAAATTATGAGCAAATCATAGTAAGTTGATTAACACTCATTACCTGATGAAGTTGCTGAATTGGTCCTTCGATTGGACATATATGGTCAGAGGGTTGGTTCTGGATAAGAAGAGAGGCAACATCTTGAAGGTGATCCGTTGATTACGGTGTTTTTATGTTTTTTGTGGTCATTCCAAGTTAGGTTGGATTTCTATTCTTTCTTGTGAATCTCTGTGTGATATTGCATGGGTGTGCAGATGGATCGACATAAGTATGTGAAAGTTGCTTACCATGGATTCAAAGAGTTATCTAAGGAAGATAAAGTTAACACCTATGGGAATACATTAGTGCGGGATTCCTTTGACGAGCCAGATTATATTATCATTGATACCCTCTTTGCCCTTGCTGAAGCTTACATGTTTGCCCAACTGGTTGACTTTAAAGACAAAAATTCAGGAAATTTTCCAGAGAGTGTTGAGTAAGAATATGACTTGCTATGTGGTCCGTGGATGGTAAAATTCTTCTATATCAAAATTTATTTTGTATTTTTCCTTTTCAGTTACGCTGTTATGTACAAGGATGTTCGAGCTGCTGTTGATTTGTGCCACCGTGATGGAACTTTAAAGCAAATGGTGGCAAATGACCCTCAGCGGTAAGGATAAGCATTGTGTATTAGTTTCACTTTATTCTAATCAATTGATGATTGAATAGTAAAACAATCTTACTTGGTCTTCATGCTTATTGCTACAAGGTACATTAATGAAGATACCTCCATAGTTCCTATGCTCAAAATGCTGAGAGATTCCGGCCGTGCTACATTCCTGGTGACAAACAGGTATTTGTGCTTCTTTTATTTCTGTCTAATTTAATTTGAAAATATACATATGTTTTGCTGATAATCTATAACACATCTTACTTACAGTTTATGGGACTATACAAACATTGTAATGAATTTCCTCTGTGAGTCGCGCACAGTGGATGGTAGTAGAAAATGCAATTTCAACTGGCTTAAATACTTCGATGTTGTCATCACTGGCAGGTCATGATTTTTCCTTTCCTCTAAGCGTGCTTTATTGTTCTTCACCATATATCGCCACTCAGTTTATTAATTCATTAACTGGAGAATGCTAATCTGGATTTCATGTGCCCTACCCTTTGCCATGTTGTATGCTTGTATGAATTACGTTGCTTATCCTTTATGTTCATCATCTCTGAATTTACTAAGAATTTGCCATCTACCATCCATGTCATAGCTACTGTCATTATACTAACCATTAGAAGCGGTTACGTATGCAGTGCAAAGCCAAGCTTCTTTCATGATGGTAACCGTGCTAATCTGTTTGAGGTAGATCTCGAGTCGGGGATGCTACATAATACTGATAATGGTTCTCCTACGGCTCAGGTTGGTATGCTAGTGTTGGTAATTCATTGTATGTCGCATTATACACGCGTATCGCCTCATTTTATGTAGTTTTATTCATTTATGTCACCTTATACATGCGTATCCCCTTATTTTATCAAGTTTTATTTCAATTTTATATTATAAAAGGTTGGAAGTTCTTCACCTGCACCTACATTATCATTGAACGGACAGAAGAAGGGTTGTAAAGTTTTCCAGGTACTCTTTCAAATATTTAGTGCATTACAGAATCATATTAATAGCTTTATCCGAATACAATTACATTATTTCACAACCATCTTTATTTCTATAACCAACATTCTGTTTTGCTAATTACTGTGTTAATTATTTTGACTTGAGTAATGATGCCTTTGAACTTGTTTCAGGGAGGCAGTGTTGGGCATCTTCATAAACTGCTTTCAATTGAGTCAAGTTCACAGGTGAACTATTCTTTCCTCGAAGTATGTCAGTTGAAAGAAAAATTTGATGTTATTAACAAATTTGGGTCTAATATTTTGCACATTTTTCATAGGTTCTTTATGTTGGTGACCATATATACGGAGATATTTTGCGTAGCAAAAAGGTTCTTGGTACTGATCATTTTCTTTCTGATATTCGGTTATCTTATCAGTCACTTCTTTAAACAATGTGCATGTTTTCTTTCTTCAACATTGTTTCCTCAAATGTGATCATACTTTCCCTAATTTCTTGTCTTTATGAACAGGGTGGAGAACAATGCTTGTTGTTCCAGAGCTAGAAAGGGAGGTTGAACTCCTATGGGAATTGAGAGATACCCGCAAGGTCCTTCTAAAATTCAACAGCTGTAGTCTAGTATCATGATCAACAAGCTTATTTAGAATGTAACTCGTACACTGGTTTCATACAGCAACTTCAATTGTTGAGGAATGAGCGCGATATGATTGAAGACAAAATACATCATCTAAAGTGGTCTCTCAAGTCGGTGTTCATCTAGGTTTCTATTTTGCTTTTTATTATTTATTTTGTGAGGGATAATTTACATAGAAGTGAGGTTGCTGTTCTCAGATATGACGATATCAGTGCTGAGGAGAAGCAAAAATTATCTTCTGAATACTATGCGTTGGAGGTAAGCCTTTTAAACATGCGAAGCAAAGTTTATTTCAGCTGCTTAAATATGTTGCTTAACAGTTTTGAAATTTGTATTTATCACTTCTTAATGGCTTAACTTTATAGTTCCGAAGAGACCAAGTGCGGTTCATCCATCAACAGTCTCAACGTGAATGTCACCAAATGGTAGTGATTCTCTTGTACAACATCAAATATGCTTTCTGGTTCCGAGGCTTTAGTCCAGTGGTATATGAATTTTCTTCAATTTGGTTTCAAGAATGTTGACTAGTTGGTTTGCTTACGATTTCAGTTTCACAAGATTTGGGGACAACTCATGAAGACTGGCTATCAGAACTCTCGCTTTGCCCATCAGGTGAGGTGTAACCCTCCTTTCTAGGTTCCTAGTTCGTTGTTTGGTAATCCTATGCCAAAACTGCTGGCCATAAGGCGGTGGCTCATTGGGTATTTGGGTGAAACTTATGGTCATCTGTGATTTGCAGGTTGAAAGATTTGCCTGCCTTTATGCTAGCCAAGTTTCCAACTTGAGCCTCTATTCGCCTGACAAATACTACAGGCCGAGTGAAGACTACATGCCCCATGAATTTGATATTCTTCCCCTGTGACGCATCTCTGCGTCGTGATAAGAAGAGGCAGCATTTCGGGAGGAGTGTGGTGAGTTTGGCTCTGGGAAGCATTAAACAAAGAGCTAATGCCAAAAGCTTAGTACCCCCTGTAAATGTTTGCTCCAATAGAGTACTGTAAATTAAGTGCTTATATGCCCTTTACTTTTCTTTGCCCCTGTATGTAGTACAAACTTTTCTGCATTATGAATGAAGAAATGTTTCGTTGCGTGTTATGACTATCCGATTCACTTGGATTTTTTCTCTCCAGATGATATAGCGTTTGTTAAGGGCTTGTTTGGAATTGCATTCTGGAAAAGCATTTGGAAGTGCTTTTCTAGAAAGTAGTTCTATGACCTAGAAGGGCTTTTAAGTTTTTCTGCCAAAATATTTATAAGTGCTTTTGGTTGTCAAAAAGTGCTTCCAGAAACAGGATGCAAATGCTTTTGGTTGTGAATCGTGATGAAGTTTGAATTTTGACAACCATGAAAATTCTTCCATGTATAACAAAATTCATTAACAATTTCTGCTCGTTGGATCTTTTATAAAGCACCAGTTGCAGAGCTTTGCAGCTTGTTTTCTTCAATTAACAAGCTTATCATATCAATAACAATCTCGCTCAATTTAAATACCAACTTCACTGTGCATTTCCAATCTGTCAAATAGCTCGTCATCTCTATCGGAGCATCCCCATCGAGCCGCATAACCCGGACGCAGAGCAATGATGCTGGTCAATGTGAAGACTACGCCATCGTTCATATCTAATGTTCGTCTTGTCTCTCGAGATCTTGTATTTCAATTGGCTCAGGGAAAATTTCATTTGATAACCTTTTGTGTGATGCAGAGAACTCCCCTCCACCTACTAGCCCCGACTGTTTTGAGCCACTGATACTCTCTCTGCTCGTCTGGCCAGGAACAGTGGCGCTCTCTGATGATGAACTATGATGCCAGCTACCAAAGAAAGTAGCGCTCCAGGATTTTCTCGATGAAGCTGTTTGCAGCTTTCCAGAGCTGGAACTCTCTTCTCTCACCACCTTTAGAGGGTTTTCCAATGCTTTAAGGATGTATCTCATCAGGGGACGCTTAGACGGCTTGGGGTTGAGGCAGGACCTGGCCACAATTGCCACAGACCAAACTTCTTCCAATAGATCTTCGTCTAGTATCAGAGACGGGTCAACAATCTTATTCAACAGTTCCTTGTCATATATGCTGATGTAGCGCACCATGTGCTCCAACAACTCTCTTGTAGAGGAATCATTGGATTTGCTGATGCCAATCTTACCCGTCACAAGCTCAAGCAATACCTTCCCAAAACAGTATACATCATATGCACAAGCAGCTGATGACGAGGCTATCCACAGAAAGAAACGAAAATTAAATAATCTATTGAACGAGAAATATAAAGAGCCAATACTTGGGAGTTTTAACTGGGAAGAGAGATACGAGGAATGAAATTTCAGACAAAAGGTTTCAAGTAGATATACGTACCATAAGGGCCTTGTTCCGATGTTCTGCATAAGACAGAAAGGAACTGTTACTTTGTTTCTCATATATATATAATAACAAAACAGATCCTAGTATCCACAATTGAAGTATAATTTGATGAAAAATGCTAAGGATCGCATATATCATACATGCAGGGCTACTGATAATCAACACTTACTGTTGTTTCCGCAACAATCTCGTGATCACATTTTGGTTACCATCCCCTTCTTGCACACGGACCTCACTCAAGCTTCCAAGCCGGACCTCAAATTTATCATCAAGAAGTATACTGCTTGCTTGAACATCTCTTCAACCACCAAAAATAAACTTTCAATTGCTTATACAAATTAATCAACTAATCAACGAGCTGAAACTAGTAAAATACAGCACAATTAAGCATGAAGTAAAAACTATAGCGAGTCTGGGAACTACAGTTTCGAATGAAAGGTACCAAGTGGTGTAACCATAAACTATCAATGATAAGGCATACTTTACCTTCGGTTTAAGCAGTAGTTGAAGTTGTATCTATTAACTATCATCATAAAATCTTTATTTTTACAGACTAAACAGGTTTTATAAGACATAAATAACTTGAGCCAAAAAAATGCATTTTATATAGGAAAGAGCAGAAGTTATGAGGACTCGGAATCACAATGAATTATTAACGGCGGCTATAAGATGTTGCTCAGATCAATAGCTGAAAGAAAGTTCAGGAATACCTGTGAACGAGCGGAGGGCTGCACTCATGGTGTAGGTAAGCTAGGATTTCAGCGGCTCCAATTGCAATTTTTAATCTTGTAATCCAATCCAGGGACTGTAAATTACCATCTCCTAAGTTGGTAACCCTGTGCAAGGAACGAGCCAAGTCTCCATTTGGCATGTATTTGTAAACCAGAAGCTTCTCGTTCTCATGCTCTAAACAGTGACCCAAAATTGGCACCAATCTCGTATGTGAAACCTTGTCTAATAAATCCATTTCTATCGTGTATGATTCTTTCGTTAAGGAATGCAAATTTACCCTTTTGATAACAACATGGGTTCCGCTTGCTAAGGATCCCCGGTATATGTCTCCAGAGTGTCCATGTTTTATAAGATTTGTTTCACTGAAAGCACCAGTGAACTGGAGAATCTGCTCATACGTAAATGAATCTCCTCGACTTGATGCGTAGATGAGATCTTTGGGGAGTGAAGGGTCATCTCCTGGAACAGGCCCAACATTTGCACTTCCTCGTTGATTTGTGCCTTTATTGCACATTTTCAGGAGCACTACCAGAACCAGTACCAAAATCACAACAAAGCCAAGTCCACCAAATATCCCAACCAAAATAAATGTTAATCGGTTCTTACTCTTTGATTTGGGTTCTAGGAAAGGTGGCTGAGCTGGTTGTAGGACCCCAAAATCATCGAAAGTTAAACTCCTCTCTTCATAAAACTGTCTACAATCCTGCAAACTCCTTTGATTTGGTACTATCTGTAGGCAATTTCCAGTAAGAGTACCATTGCTTAGACTATCTTCGACTACCTTGCCTTGGAAAAAATTATCAGACAAATCGACTGAGACAGATTTCCCAACAGGGAAGGTCAGATTTCCATATAACAGATTACTAGAAAGGTTGAACACAGCACCACTAACACTAGCATTTGAACCGAGGCCCAGCAGAGTTCCTGTAAAATTGTTGTGGGATACATCAAGAAAGCGCAAACTGGGAAGTGACCACAATGCACCGGGAAGAGCACCATCAAATTTATTCCGACTCAGAACCAGAACTTCCAGCTGAACAAGACTCGAAAACAAACCCTGCGGTACTGGACCTTCAAGGTTATTATCTCCAATCTCCATCCTCCTCAAACTCCTCAACCCTCTCAACTCCGCAGGCAATGACCCGGACAACGAATTCGTGGTAAGATTAAGCTCAACTAACCGGGAAAGGTTACTAAACTGAACCGGAATCGAATCGGTGAGACTGTTATCAGACAAGTCCAAGAATTTAAGCCATGAAAGGGTTCCCAAACCTGGTGGAACTGGCCCAGATAAAAAATTTGAAGAAAGGTCAAGACTTTCAAGCTTTCCAAGATTGGCAAAGCCAGAAGGTATTGACCCAGTAATCGCATTCCTCGAAAGATCAAGAATTTCCAACTGTGTTATATTTATCAATGCAGAAGGCAAAATCCCAGTGATGCCATTGGCAGATAAATACAAAGCGGTAAGATTTTTCAAATCACCGAGCGACTGAGGAACAGGACCAGTGACTGATGCAGACCTAAGGTCGAGCACCTGGAGTGCGCCAAGTCTTTGGCCGAACCAGTCGGGTATGGACCCGGGAAGCGCAAACCCGGAGGCGTTGAAAATAGACAAGAGGGTGAAATCAGTCAGTGAATCGACGGCGAACCGGGGGTTTCTCCGGCCCAGTCGGGTTCGCCTCAAACCGGACACGGTGACCCCAGTGACTCGGCCGTTCTTGCTGCATGTGACTCCCGTCCAGGACGAACAAGGGTCGGCCTTTATGGGCCAGTCTTTGCTTCTGAGACCCAACGACGAGCGGAGCTCCAGTAACGCCGACCGTTCCACGGCGGAGCTCAAAGAAACCTGCTGCGCAAAACCGCTCTGAATCACGAACAAGATTAGCGTTACTGCAAAGGCGCCGACTTGGGCTCTCGCCCCCATTGCCGTTTCAGTTACAGAGAACAACTTCATGGTCGTCAATGGAGATTCTTCTTGGTCTTCGCCATTTCTCTGAAAATTCTTCTTTTCTCCACCAAGATAGAAAATTTGAGCAACTCAAGAAAAAGTGAAAAACCCACCAAATAAAATTGCAAACTTCAAAAACCCAACAAACAAAACTGAAAATATCTTTCTCTTTTCTGCTCAGTGGAATCGAACAGAAGAGAAGAAACTTAAGAATGCTCTGCGAACAGAGAGCGGGCTTGAAGAAGAAGAAGAAGATGGTGGAACGTTTAATGAGAGAGAGAGGCAGCGAGGAGTATGCCCTACCAACCGCCAAGGAAGAGTGTGTCTATGTCTAGTATTGTATTACGGAGTCACTCTCAGAGTCACCGGAAGCCATTAATGAAGCCATGAAGCCGTTCTAGCTATTTGCAGTGGCAACAGTTCTGGGCCTGGCTTTGGTGGTGTGGTTGAAAATATTTGGAATAAATTATGAGATTATTCGCGGGATGGAGTGGAGGTGGGGGGTGTTAAGTTTTTTGGGTGTGTGATTAACTGATTACTGTTGGTTGACTTAAATAAAATTACTATTTTGGTCTTGGTGCTTTGGGATTGTGTTTGGATTGGGAAAGGGACCACATGACATTATTATTAGGATTGTTATTAGCATTTTAAAAATTTTATTCTACACTTGTTATAAGTGTATTTTTCTTTCTAATTATATAAAGTTTGGAGTATCAAATGAGATTTTTGGAGTACTAATAACAATTTATTATTACTTTTCTTGTGAGTGGTTATCAATATACCTGAAACACAGGTGTTACATCATTATATGTCATTAGCAAGTGGAGTGACACTTGAAAAATAAATTTGTTTTTTATTTATATAACGACATGTGATGTATCATCTCATATTCTAAGTACATTGAAAATTCTCTCCTACTTAAATCTTTGGACACTTGATTTTCGCTATAAAGTGAAGTTTAGATGAATGCGTTAAAGTGAAACTCAATAATCGAGAAAGTTACCACGATGATTTTACTTAAAAAATAACTGAATTCTTTGTTGTAATTTTATATATGAGTTTAACCGTATAAGAGTCTGTTTCTCTTAAATAATTGTATTTTGTTTTTTTATGTCTTTGGCTTTGAATTTTCTTTTCTCCTGTTTATATGAAATTATTGATACCTTGGAGCCTTGTGTCACATACTTCCATTAAATATTTGGCCAGAATGATCGTGATATTATTGTTTTTGGTTATGGATAGCGATATTATTTGAACGTTCTGATTAGTTTCTTTGTTCCAAAATCCAATTCCAATTCGAGTACGAAACTTCTTTCAACGATATAAATAAAAGTGTCGGTATTATTAGTACGAATATGATACATGATATTACTTATTTCATCTAAAAAAAAAACAAATATGACACAACATTGATCGTATATTTTTTTATCTTCATATTTTTAAGGATGATATTTGTGTTTTTCTTATGTTTTCTTGTGCATTGTTTAAGACACAACGAACAAACAAAAAATGGTTAATAATGTAAGGCCATCTAAATAACAACTAGATAATAGTAGATATTGTAACTAATTATCAACTCACGTAATTAGATAAGAATTTCAATAAATACCCCAATATTGTCTCTAAATTTATAATCAAAAGTACTTAATTATTAGTTAATTGGTGAGAGACCAAGACTTCGTAACACCTACACTTTCAATAAATCAAAGTAGAATTAATGATTATTCTATGATTTATTTATACTCCTTTGATGATTATCATAATAAAATTAATGAAAATAAACAAAAATAAATAATGAAAAACTATAAATTTTCTTGGGGCCAAAGAGGGAATTAGAAAAGTTTGATGGGGCGGCCAACGATTATTCTTAGTCAAATATGGCTCCAAAATACAAAAGAATGAATTGTCCAGTCGACTCAAAATATGAAATGGGCAAATAATAAAGCGATGGGAGCGATGGAAATTAGAAAAGGCTAAAAACCAAGTCTCCCACAAACAAAGAAAACGACAACGACTTTGTGGGCAAATAATTGCGATCGTGGCATTTCCATTCACGTGATCCCACTTTCACTCGACAGCCTCCGCGTCAAAGCCATCACAAAAAGAAACTTCATATTGTTTTTTTTTTTTTTTAACAAATTCCACGTATAAGATTGTGACACTACACGCCATTAAAAATAAATAATGTTTCTATGTATATTTTTTTCTTCTTCTTTTATATATAGAGGGGACCACCTCTTTGGATGAGTCGGGAAGTCTTATAGAGGCATTTCAGTCTCTTTCTGGTCATCATCGTGTGATTTATCAGCGTCAGAAATCGAACTCAGATCATGCCGTGTGAAATACGGGCTTGAAATTCTACCATGTATATTAGGGTTGGTTTAACTAGAAGCGCTTTAATTATCAAAAACGCTTTTGATAGTATTTGACAAAAAAAATATTTATAGGCTGAGAAAAAAACCTTAAAATACTTACTAAAAGAAGTATCGGTTGTGTACTTTTTGAACTTGAAGTGAGTTTTTTAATTAAGGCCAACCAAGAAAAAAGAAAAATAGGCAGGCCAACCAAGAAAGGATAGCCCTCAATTAGGGCCCAATAAATTTTGAATCTTTTCCGTCTACAAGAGTGGCCCAGGAGTCATGATTTCTGTGGGCTTTTTAGCTGGGCATTTTCAGTTGGCCCAATTCGTCAGCAATATGAATACAAACATTTGCCTCACTAAATGCTTGTTTGAAACTGTATTTTTTTTTTGGTCAAACAGTTAGATTAGGAAGTCAATGAGATTCGAAACTACACCATGGTGCATAGGTAATACTCATCTTCACTACTATGGTAGAGCGCCACTTGCATATTTGAAACTGTTTTTAAAAGGACTAAAAGTGGGATCCAAAATTGGTGCTTATTGCAGGAAGTGTTTCTTCGGATTCACCTATCCTTTTACTAAGTATTGAGATCAAAAATATTTTCACGAAAAACATCTTTAATAATTTTAAAAATACTTTCAAATAAGCTTTAAATACTTCATGCGAACAAGACATTTTTATACACCCGAGCCACAAAAATTGCATGTCCCAGAGTGCTGTAGAATAAGATTTATTGGTCTATGACAATATTATAAAGTAGAATAAGATTTTTTGGTCTATGACGTTCATGATAACATCATATATAAAGACAGGGTGCAAGAATCCATATCCTGCTGCAAATCTTTAATCAAATTGCAGCTTAGATGCTGCCACAGGCATATTATGCATGTATACTAGATATTTAGTTGCACCTAATTAAAAAGAAGAATCCAGTTTACTTTTCCTAAACAATTGTTATTACCTTAATTTTTTACGATACTCTAGAGCATGAGATATTCTTGATGTTTTAATCGTTAGATTTTTATTTAAAAATACAACAATTAAAATTTTGTTGTTGAACTTGGAACCGGATCCCCTCGGGATCCATATATACTGAGCAGACGATCCGGACCGTTTACAATTATTATAACTTTTAGAATACCCCTTATTTGTAGCCGTTATATCAAATTTCAACGATCTTGATCGCCTACTCAACATGCTTAGTTTTATTAGAAATAGAGGAGATCCGGTTCCGTTGAACTTTACTTGGAGGCACGGTAGGATTTTTCATATGCTTAATTAATATTTGAATTATAATTAAATGAAGGAAAGTTATGTGCATGGTTTTCCAACTTTCTATCAAATCAGTCAAATGGAGAAGAATAGTATATGTCCCTCTGCTTATATGTCAAGTTATGCATATCGTATCACCTGGTTGCTTCTGATGTTTTCTTTCAATATATCTCAAAATTTCAGCAACAAGATCAACCAGCTGGCTTCTCCTTTTTATCAAAAAATCTACAAAACTTCTGGTATGCAAAGCTGAAGTTTGGGGACGAAAATGCTATATTCATTCCTATAACTACAAAAATTAATCATATTCATAAACGTAAATTAACCGTCGGGTATTATCCATAACCATACCCACCGGATAACGGATTTCTCAACGATTAACGGTTATATCGTTGATAATTTAATAACGCATGATAATTTAATACAAAAAATATATTCATTTAATTAACGCATGATAATTTAATAAATATTAATTTCATCATTAAATATTTAATGTATAAAATGATTTAATGAATGGATCTTGTGGAGTATAAAAATTAAAGTTAAACATTGATAATGTTAGCTGATCTTTGATATCTCTCATAAGTACCATTGAATTCTCATAGATTTTGATTCATATCAAAACTTATGAACTTTCTCATAAAATGCAACGCACATAATGCAATTTTTGTATTTACACTCAAAGTAAGGGATTTGGCGAATAATGAATATACATATGTGTGTGTGTGTATATATATATTTTAATACTTTAATAGTATGAATAATTATACTATATATTATTCGGTTCAGATTCGGGGACAGATACGGATTGGGGACCCCTATAACCATATCCAAAACCATAACCGAATAATATTCATGGTTTTTCCCCATACCCTAAATATACTCAAATTTTCATATCCAAATTAAATATATTCGGGCAATTATCCATGGTTATCGGGTTTAATAATTAGAATTGCCATCGCTAATCCTTTATGCCAATTCCAGCTTGTGAGGAGGGGCAGATAGATGCACATGCAGAAAGAATAAATTTAAAGGGTTTTGTAATGCAAAGCCATTGACGGACATGCAGAATCATATAAAAGGCAACTTTATATTGGAATAATGCATAAATGATCAATGATAAGGATTCTATATTTCCATTCATCGGTCCCGTTTTGGTATATTATGTCACCGTCTCTATACCAAAATAGTAGGAGTCTTCGTCACAACAAAGTGAGCGTTACTACGGATGGATGGGTTTGGTACAGTTATTAAACGAAATACATAAAGAATAATTAAAATTTAGTAATTAGTAATTAGCATTATATATGATGTATTTATATAAATAATTTAAAACGATATGGTATATTGTCGGTATTAGTTTTAGATGCTAATAACATACCAAATATGTTTGTTTGGTACAATTATCATACCATTACAGTTTGGCAAAAAATCAATATGGTACGGTATATGGTAATGATATGGTCCGGTATGGTAGAATGGCAAAAAAATTCCACCCTACTACTTGTTAGAAAATTCTACCATACAACAATGTCTATCATACGTCAACTTTTTAACCACTGAATTAATTTGACAGGTTCACCTTTCCATATTAATTAGTATAGAATGATAATCAACGTTGGATAAGAAATATATGTCGTACATTGTAATATATACCTAATTTGTATGAATCCTAATCCTTCTATAGATGGTTTTGCTTGTTGAGAGGTCTATAAAGATCAAGACTTTATCTCCTCAAATAAAATGGGTGGAAGATGGATTCCCCATTGCCCTCAGCAATGTCTAATCGGACAACCTATTCGGTATCCAGTCCTTGGTCTTCGAAGAATCCATCAATCGAAACTCATCTGCCTGGCATATGATAACCATGGAAATGTGGAGGCCAAGGGTGACGAGGATCCAACTTGGAATCAGGGCCACCAGAAAAAAGGAAAACTAGTACTGTTAGGTGTCAAAGCCTTTGAAATTGAAGGAAAGGCAGGCAGCAGGCATCCATGGATAGATAAATTAAATTCTTTCATCGATCGGACGTGGATTATGATATATGTCCTGCAAAAAAAGTTGCAGTCTTATTCAATGCGTGTATATGATATATGTTAAAACAACATGTTCTGAGTTCAATTTCTGACTGTCAAAGGGAGGCTAGTAAGCTAAAAATCCCCCTCATTTGGAACAAAAGAAAATGTAAATACAATTGTATATTGGTACATCCATCACATTTTTTTTTTAATCATACGAATGAGATCTCTTGAACTTAATGATGGAAAGAAGACATGTTTGCTTTCAAGACAGCTGCAGTGCTGTGACTCTATCAAGAAATTGGAGGAATAGTAATTTAGGCATCGGTATTTGATCCAATTGTGCTACTAAACTGGGAATTAGAATCACAATTCACTAAGAGCTATATATATATGTACACACACTGGACTTGTAAGTTGTAACTATTTCACCCCATGGCAGTGCTTGGCTAATTTAGGTTGCCACTAGCCCCGTAAATATTATGATTAGGTAGGTTCTTCGAAAATCAAGTCATACAGAAAGCAATTGCCAACCGTCTTAGTATTGGTTTGGTACTGAGGTGCTTTTATAAAAAGTGGATATAAAAAAAAGCTGAACTCAATAAGGTATTTGGTAAACACTTAAAAACAGCTTATTTTCACAGTTTTTGGTGAAAAAAATTTGAAAACGTGAAGCAGCAAAAACGAGCTTATTCTCACAGAACAGCATAAACAGTTTTTTTTTTTCAAAGCACAGCAATATCAAACCAGCCCTAATTACTGGTTTAGTAAGAGGAGAGTACAATACATACAGCTATGCTTTTGCTCTAAAAATAGTTGAAACACACACCAAGTTCTGCAGAGTTTTCTGCATTACTGTCTATAATTTTGTCGAAATTAAGAAGTTGATGAAGTTAAATTGTTGCTTTTAAATTACTAGCGTTAAATCACGATAACCGAAACTATATACACTCAAATTACAAGGATAAAGTAGTAGTCTGTGTTCTATTTATTGGGTTATACATTGACTTAATTTGGGTGTACAACAGTAGTACGGAATGAGAGATATAGGAGGGTTGCTAAAGGAGATGAGCCAGCTAGGTATTTTTTGGAAGGTTATTTGAAAAGAGAGTAACGACCAAACAAAGGAGTACTGGTAAATCAGATGATATTAAAAAAACATAAATTTCATACTTTTGTAAAATGTCTTACAAATGATGCGATTAAGAATATTCTACTTGAGTTTTTCTTCAAGGGTTAGACATGAGATTGACCATGAAATGCATATATAAAACGCTTGGAAAAAGATAGACTTTTAAAGTGATTTTTGTGTGTTATCTCATATAGCTCGATAACACTCTTTTCGTGAATAAGATCGATTATCTAGGTCTCATGGTGTTAAAAGTGCACCCGTGAAAGTTAAACCAAGTATGGATTAACCTGGTCCCCCATGCTAGTTTTTGTTTAATATATTAATATATATACTAGTTAAAGCAATTCAATTTGCAGGGGGTTCAATTCCATGTGCACAAGTACTACTCTTGATAAACTAACTTAAGGTATAATTAAGTGTTAATTATATACTTTTAAATATGGAAATTTGAAGTCACAATCTAGGTCATCTATAGATATTGAAATGCTTTTTATTGCTAGTTGCAGCAACAACTATACTGAAGTCCTACCAATCATAAAAACTAACAAGAGAGATGTAGATATACAAGAATGTTGATTTGATTATACTACATAAATAGCCTATTTGAAACAGACTTGGGAAAGGCATGTCCCAAAATAACTGAATATTTTACCCCAAATGGGTGAGAGGAATTTCGTCTTGCACGTAAATCATGCCTATTCACATCGGGATTAGGTACCGTCCAGCCACAAGAGTTTTCTCAGTGTGATCGGAACACGGAACACCAATATTATTATACAGTTGGAGGAAGTTGTTCTTTTCAGGAGTCCCTACAATTGTATAATGACATGTAATAATCTCGTGTTCTGGACACACTAAAAAATCTCTCCACCACAATCTATTGTCAGTTAGATTGATAAACGTAAAAGTTTCATAACACTAATTAAAAGTAATATTTTTGCTCACCACTTTCAAGTGATAATGATGCTCACCACTTCATTCATTACTGTTACATTCATTTAAATTTCGAGATCTATATAATAAATAGATACAAATTTCAAAATTTAAACTTATCAAATCTTAATAAGGAGAGTGGTGCACCACTTGAGAGTGATAAGCAAAAACTAATTAGACGACGGTTATTCATGTTTTCAATTTGTCATTGTATAGTTGGAGATTAATATTTTACAATTTTAAAATAATCCTCACGGAAAAAATGCAAGATAGCATATAAATTAAGAGTGTGAATAGCATTTCTCTAAACCCTAATTAATATTATTCATTTGAAGCATTACAACTAGAATGTGGTAACGGACAGTGTATATACGAAGCTTACGAGAAGAAAAGTGTAAGAAGGTGAAGGAGAGTGAACTGGAGTCAGGGCGATCATGTCGTCACCTTTTCTATTTGGGTAAAACAAAGTCGGCTTGTTAATTTCTTGGGGGTTTAAAGCCCTAAAGTCCGCAAACCCATAAAATATTACCTGGAAAGTAAAAAGAAAACCACGTGGGTTATTACAAAGTTCAAATTCCTCCCCCATTGTTTTGCAACTAAAGAAACAGCTGTGCAACAAAATACAACTCGACCCCACCCTTACCTATCTCTCTCTCCCTCTCTCTCTCTCTCTGATCCTCGTCGGATCCTTTTACTGGAGATCTTGGAATCTCGTGATTATAATCGTTCATCGTATATTGTGAAGTCAATTTTCGTTAGGTATTATTTATATTTAATTTTAAATTTTAAATAATTTTTTATCGCACAATGTACGATGAACGGTTATGATTACAGAATCTCCCGAGATCTAAGAAAAATGATCCGGCGATGATCCTTTTCCCTCTCTTTACACACACCCCTCTCTCTCTCTCTCTCTCTCTCTCCTGCCTCCAGTAGTATATAAGGAGCTAACACTGCCGTTCTCTTTGCTCAACATAATTATAAAGCCTACTTCCATTTGGCATTTTCAGCCCCCTCCCAACAAGCATTCTATCTGTTGTAGCTAGCGAAGCTCGGTTTCCATCGATCAATGGCGTCGTCAGGATCGTGGACGGCAAGGCAAAACAAGCTGTTTGAGAATGCTCTGGCGGTTTACGACAAGGACACACCGGACAGGTGGCACAATCTGGCGAGGGCTGTGGGTGGGAAATCAGTGGAGGAAGTGAAGAGGCACTATCAGATGCTTGTGGAAGATGTGAGCAAGATTGAGGCTGGTGAGGTGCCTTTGCCTAATTATAGAAGATCTGGTGGAGGAAGCACTAAGCCCTATTCCAGGGATATTGATCAAGAAGACAGGTAATTCAATAGAATGTTTTTAATTTCTTGAACTGCATTCATTTATACAAAGGAAAATGCTTTTAAAAACTTTCAAGAATATTTACCCATAAAACATGATTGTTTGAGCCTTTCACATATATGTGGTACATAACTCCATTCATTCACATATCGTTGCATTAAGAAATGATAAAACAATTTACTCATTCTATTCTACATTCATTATTTTCAATTTCTAAGAAAATGTATAAACATGAATCACCAAACGTGACTTAACAAACTCATCTGTTATAATACAGACCAACGAGGATTTTTAGAGTAAAATTTAATGAATAAAACATGTGATATAACATGACCCCAAGCTGGACAAGCCTTTTTATATATTCAATGGGATGAATTTTTCATGCTTTAATTTGCCCTTACCACAGATGATGTTAATTGTTGTTCTCATGCAGGATGAAGAGTCTGAGAATTCAATGAAGGAGAGAAAGCCAGATCGATCAGTTCATAGATGGAAATAAAGATTTTTAAGTTTCAACATAAAAGAAAATGCAGAACCGTCCAAGTAGCAATATATATATATATATATATACATATATATATTTACACAGGACAACAAGAGTCAAATGTGATTAGCTAAAATGTTGCGTTTTTCCTTTAGTTTTCCAAAAGTCATTGTATTTTCCTTTCAGCTCCTTTAAATGTCCTGAGAAAAAGAAAAAAAGGCCACTTCGTTTGTCTCAATGAATGAAGGATTATGAGTCTCTACATTAATTATAGCTTTTCTGCTTTTTTTATTTATATAGTCCATTATAATAATCTAACAACTTAAAACATGCCACGTCATTTAATTAGTATAACCTTTGAAGACCGATTAGATTAAGCGAAACACATAAAAATGCAGAAAAGCTAAATGCTTAGGCTCGGATAAATGAAGACAGTCAAGGATAAATGAAGAGAATCAAGAGACTATATATCATTATCATAATAATTTTATAAACCTTTATTTAATAACACGTATTTGAATTAGCCAAATTTGCTAAAATAATGGACTCTTCTCTCGACACCGAAACTCGAATCCCTCTTTCCGTTATATATAATTCTTTCTGAGCGAAGTTGAGATTAAATTTAGAGTGGAGTATTGTTTATATTAAAAAAAAAATTAAAACAAACAATACATGTGCTAAATTGGATCGAATATGTAGAATCCTTAAGTTAAAGACATGCATAATGACATGGATATAGAATCGTTGCTTTTCATGGAGTAGGTTCATTCAGAACCGTCCAAGGTGGAAGTATCGAATTAAACCAGTACTTTTCAAATGTCGGAAAGAAGTGACATGATCATATCGGCATCAAGTTTGAAAGGTTGGTCGTCATCACCCCCAACAAAATTATTGTTAATAATTGACTTATATATCACACTTATGAGACTCCATGCGATCTCCTTCATTTTGTTAACCAAATAATAAAACTCGCATGGAAGTTTCTGAACTGCAAGAGTTCAAGGCCAGCAGATAATGATTGTCGTCTCTATAATTCAAGTGACGTTCTTCTCTAGAAGTCTATATAGATTCAATTTTTGCAATTTTGGGATGCATATCTAAGGTGTTCGCTTCTTGTAAAAAGTCGAATTTCCTCGCACATTTGTTACTCATATTGTAGATTTTATATAAAAAAAGGTCAGTATATTATTATTAATTTTTTAAATCAGCAAGATATTCTAATTTGAACTAATTGTTATGTATAATTATAATTTAGGGATGCAATTGAAACGTTACCATTATTCCGTCATAAACACGTTAAGTTAATTTCCTTTCCCAAACCAATAACTTAGCCGTTTAACCCAAGCATAAACCCTACTTTTTACCTTCACCAAACATAAACCCTAATCTCTACCTTCACCTTCTCTCTCCAAGACCTTGCCCCTCTCTCTCTAGAACCTGTCTCTCCTCATCCATCCACAGTCCAAAGTTGAAACACAACCAAAACCACAATGAGAAAACTCAAATCAAAGAAATATCGCATCAAAAAGAAACTCTCGGAGGAACTCCAAGAAATTGAGCTTCTGAAATCGTGGATCGAATCCCAGCAACCCGAACGCGGCTCTAACCCCATGTCTCTTCCCGATTTGCCCTCAGACGCCCCTCTCGGTCGCGTGGGCAACCCCACCCTCTTTTCGCGGTACGCCGGCGCCACTAGGTTCGAGCAGTTGCCCATCTCCAAGAAGACTAAGGACGCCTTACGCCAATCCAAGTACATTGTAATGACCGATATTCAGAGGGCCGCTTTGCCCCATGCCCTATGCGGCAGAGATGTTCGCGGTGCCTCCAAGACTGGATCCGGGAAGACCCTAGCTTTCGTTATACCGGTAAGGTTTTTTAGGGTTTAGGGTTTTTTTGTGTGTTTATGCAAGTGATGTCATAATATAAAGTTTAAACTAATCTAGCTAAATATGGAAGGCGTTGAAAATTGGGCACGTTAGAAACTGTGAAAAAGAAAACAAAAATATTCAAGTTGTGAGTTTCGTTGCCTTTCCCTTTTCAGCTTTTGGAAAAATTGTATAGAGAGAGATGGTGTCGTGACGATGGTGTGGGCGTTATCGTACTATCTCCAACAAGGGAATTAGCCATTCAAACTTTTCTTGTGTTGAATTCGGTTGGGAGGCACCATGATTTTAGTGCTGGTCTTCTAATTGGGGGTCGAAAAGGAGTCAAAGAAGAGAAGGAGCGTGCAAATAAGCTCAACATATTGGTTTGCACGCCTGGCCGGCTTCTTCAGCACATGAATGAGACTGAACATTTTTTCTGTTCACAGCTTCAGGTTTACTTTATCATCTATTAGTGTTATGATTTTGATTTCGGTCTCACTTAACATCTGAAATTCAATGTGTCTTACTCAACATCATGCAACTTAAAATCGGTCTCACTTTGCATCCTATTGTCCAAAGTTACCTTGACGTTGTATCATTGGTGCGGGATGCCAGAGTAACGGTGTACCCTTGTCACATAAGTTGCGTTTCTATTTTTTCTGCTGATTTGGGTGGACTTTTTCGGCCAGGGAACAGGTTTTAGTCCTTGATGAGGCAGATCGTATGCTCAGTGATGCAAGTTTTAAGCCCGCAGTGGAGTTAATCATTAAAGATCTACCAAAGGATAGGCAAATTTTTCTCTTTTCAGCAACTCATCCAAAAGATGTTAAGGATCTTGCAACTCTCTGTTTGAAAGATCCAGAGTTCGTCAGTGTGCATGAGAAGTCTGTAACAGCCACTCCTACTAATTTGCAGCAAACATATATCATCGTTCCTCTTCACCGAAAGTTAGACATGTTGTGGGGCTTCATAAGAAGTAACTTAAAATCTAGGATTCTAGTGTTTCTATCAACCAGAAAACAGGTACGCCGACCTTGTTTTGACTTATTTCAATGCGTCTCAGATTCCAATGTCGTGCCTGATCATCGGGGAATATTTCACCTCCATTTTTTCACGTAATACACCTGTTGCCTGATCCATATTTTTACCAAGTTTGATTGTCGAATTTTTGTTTTAATAGGTAGAATTTGTATACAAAGCATTTGCAAAACTCCAACCCGGAATACCTTTGAAGCGTATTCATGGTAAGAGGAAGCAAGAGGAAAGAATGGTAACAGTCTCACAGTTTAGTAAGAATCCTATAGTTCTTTTTTCGACTGATGTGGCTTCAAGAGGCCTTGACTTCGACCAGGCAGTTGACTGGGTTGTTCAGGTGAGTTTTTTGCTACTCCAAGATTGTTGTTATTAATCATATAGCCCCTGAGCTTTTCATTTTCTCTCGACCCGAATCATCCGTTACTCATTTCGTCACAGCGTCGTTAAGTGCTGATACTTTTTCTCATGTGTAGGTGGATTGTCCAGAAGATGTTGCATCTTACATACACAGAGTTGGTCGAACTGCTCGCTTCGATTCTGTAGGGAGATCGCTTTTATTTCTGATGCCGTCTGAAGAAAAAATGCTTGATAAACTACAAGCAGCAAAAATACCCATTCGGGAAAAAAAGGTGGTTATATTTTCTTTCATTTCACATCTTTTTAATTATCGTTCCCGCCATCTCCGATTGCTTGTGTACTACGCTAAACTAATTAGCTGTTTTACTGATTTCTCAGCCTAACAAGGACCTTGTGCAATCACTGTCTAAATTGTTGGCATCTAAGATAGTCCAGGACCCAGATCTACTACGTGGTGTGGCTAATAGGGCCGTTATCACATATGTAAAGTCTGTTAAAAAACAGAAGGACAAAGAGATTTTCGACGTTAAAGAACTACCAATTGATGAGTTTTCCAAATCGATAGGTCTACCGTTCCCACCCAGAATGCGTTTTCTAAACAACGAAATCAATAACTCCTCTAAGAAAGTGTCCGAACTATCTCCCATTGTTGAACCAGAAAATTTGGACAAGGACAATGAATTTTGTTGAATTATAAGTCTCTAGCTGATTAAGTATTAGAAATAAGATGAGTTTTAATGTGTGTATTCATTTGAGCATATCTGCCAAGTGTAAGGTTAAATGATGTAAGGCCATGAGTGCCATGTGGTGTTTGATCCATGTAATTAGGTTGGTGAGTGACTAAGATTAAAAGTAGTGTTTAGTGTGGTCCTAAAGCTAAGGCCATCAGTTAAATGTAAAGCAGTGTGAGTGCTCATTTTTCTGAGTAGTACAAAAATATTCCTCTGCAATACTTTTGCAGCAGAGAGAATAGAAAAGAAAAAAAAAAAACTATTTCGGTTCATCTTCCATCTTTGCTTTGCTTCTGTTCAGCATTCTAAAACAAACCCAGCAAAATCAGAGTAACACTAACATGGCCTCAGAGCCTTGTTTCGATTAGATCTGGGCGTGTTTCTGTGAGCTCAAACGTCACCGTCTCTGGACTTGGTGAAGTTTGCCGGAGCTTATCTGTGATCTAAGAACTACGTGTTTCTGGATTCACACAAGCTCACGATGGCTGGACCTGGGAGTGCTGAAGTGAGGACCCCGATCTTCTCCGGTGAGAACTACGAGTTCTGGAGAATCAAAATGGTTACCATTTTCAAGTCGTATGGACTGTGGAATCTGGTGGAAAAAGGGATTCCGGTTCCTGATTCGAAGAAGAAGAAAGCTAAGACTGATGAACATACAGAGGTTGATGCTGACGATGATGAGAAAATGGCTGCAATCTTCATGAAAGATGCAAAAGCTCTCGGAATCATTCAAAGCGCAGTCTCCGATCAGATTTTCCCTCGAATCGCAAACGCAGACTCAGCAAAAATGGCATGGGATCTGTTATATGGCGAATATCACGGTGGGGATCAGGTAAGATCTGTGAAACTCCAAAATCTTAGACGAGAATTTGAATACACTAGAATGCGTGATGATGAATCTTTGACTGGGTATCTTACTCGTTTAAATGATCTGATTAATCAAATGAAGACGTTTGGTGAAACTATGTCAAATGAGAGATTAGTTCAGAAGGTGTTAATCAGTCTCACTAAGATATATGATCCTATATGCTTAGTGATAGAAAACACTAAATGTTTAGAATCTGTTGAACTGCAAGAGGTATTAGCTATATTGAAGAGTCAAGAGCAGAGGTTTGATTTGCATTCCTCAGATGCAACTGAGAGAGCATTTTCTTCTCTTACTGTTTGTTCAAAAGGGCAGAATCGAAGTTATGCTCAGTCTAGTACCTTTAAACCACAGAGAAATTGGAATAAAAAGGGCAA